GAGAAGGAATATGGGAAAATTAGTAATACTGTAAAAGCAATACATGATTTTTCGAAGTGCACAATTAATTAAAAGTGCTAAAATCCTTGGAAGTCCAGGGTTTGTCGCCCCTAGACCCCTGGGGAAGTTATCGTGGCCACACTTTTGAGAACTGCTGGGGCCCATTCCACAGAAGATTTACAAGCTACAAGTTACAAGTCTATTATTTGTAGAATCAAGTTTCTGTTCCACAAAAGAAAATTGTACTAGGAAGATTTACAAGTACAAGTTCATTCACTTACAAGCGAATTGAGTTTGGGAAAGTGGATTCAGTCCCATAGAGCCAGATGTTTTACTAGTACAAGTCTATTGACTTGTACTTGTAGCTCTAATTTCTACAAGACTCTCATGCTTGGTAAATGTATTTTCTGCACTCCTGTGTCTAGCGTAGACGATGGATTTTCCTGTTGTGACAATTTCATAGGGCAATATAGGCATAGTTTTAATGTGGTACAATACAGTAGAGTTGGGCTCATGTGAGTACGCAGCAAAAAACTTGAAAGAATAAAATCCAGCATTGCAGGAAATGAAATACCTGACTATAAGCATTGCCAGCTAAACAATGATCACAGCAACTTTTCTAGGCGCCCTCTTTGATAGAATTAACCTTGAATGTAAGTGTGGACTCTGTCTGGTGTACAACCAATGGACTCGAACAGCTTCTCCAACATGCGTCTAGCGACAGACCGTCGCCAGCCAATCAGAACGCAGCTCCTGTCTGCGTCATGCTTCACAGGCAACCCACGTATCTCGAACCCATCTCCTAGACTCAAAGTGTAAATATGGAAAATAATATGCTCATGGTGTCATGTGGTCTTCGGGTCAAGGTATACCGATCAAACTTGGATATATATTTTTAATTCCCACTGTATTAGGTGTACTAATAATGAGTCGTTATTTATGTTTATCATGGATTCCATAGAGTTCTAGTTCCTCATCTGAATCTGATGTCCTTTCCTGGACTTGGACATTTCTATTTTTAGTCCTTGTTCAAAAATGAGCAGTCATGGGTGAGGGTGCCAAATGTTATGTCATGGAGTCATTCACTTCAAAAAATTAAAAGTTTAAACGATGCAGCACAATTAGATAAGCCTCAGTACGCGTAGGTGTGACGAAGACAAAGGTGCGAGAAAAGGTTTGTGGAAGACCTCTCAAAATGTTGTTTGACTTAAACTGACTGCATGTTTTTCCTTGTTTATGGTAGAATAGAATAGAAACTAAAATAATTTAAGCAATCTAGCCTTTCAGGCTGGTGCTCATGATTAAATATTAAAGGCATTTTTGAGCTTGGGTTCAACAAAGGACAACCTATCAAATGATATATATAGTAACGATGGACACCCTGTATATCATTTTAAGAATTTTCTTCAGTTGAATATGCGGTCAGTGATAAACCAGGTCTAAGGCCACCACTCAGGTTTCAGGATGGTCAATAATGTCGAACCATGAAAGGTGTCGAGTCCAGGGGCCAGTTGCATTGCCTCAGACTTTCAGAACTAAGTCAGACTTTCGCGCAAATATATAGCATGTCTTCGCATTGGCATATATAGATACCAGAGTAACGATTTCCCAACGGTCGTTTCGTTGCCATGCCCACTTTTTTAAAGGGGAAGTCGAACAACTTCGACCCTGGGCTTAATTGGTATTTTGATTTAAAAGAGGAAGTTTTCGTCAGGGGAAAAGATATTGCGAACAGCCCATGTAAGCCAAAAAAGATCAGCAGGATCGTCATCACAGGCACGGTCCTGGCCCAGTTAAGTCTATTCCATAATCTCCTTTCAGAGCGAGATAATTTAGATGAAAAAATACGGAGAAATGGGAGACAGCCGACTTTGACCGCAGCCGAAGCTGGATCTCACAAGCACCAAAGATGCACACTGGCTGGAGAGATTCGCACCCAATTAGCCCAGAGCGTTCGGAAGCGGACATCTTGAATTGCTTGAAATGGAATGGATCGGCGAACTGATTTTCCCGGGAAAGAGGAGAAAGGACATTCATGAATCCGTTCCCCGCGAAAGGCGAATTAGGGTCTTGGGCTCTGCCAAGCCGATCGACCATTTACAACAGGTGCAGATCGTCGGAACGATTGGAATATTCGCAAATTTTTTGTTACAGGAATCTGGATGAGAACTTATGTCGAAGCGAGTGCGAGGAAAGACGCAATACAGATTCCAAGTGAATATCGATTTGCTTGGGGAAACCTTTGGGAGGTTAAGGTTTCACAGAACGACACTTGGACAACATACAAAGCGTAAGGCCTGCGATTTCTTAGTATTATTATTATTTATTTTATTTTATTTTATTTTTATTATTATTTTTTATATTATTATTTATTATTATTATTATTATTATTATTTTTTTTTTTGGGGGGGGGGGCATTATAAAGAAGGACCTACTATATTCCCAGCCACCCACTCCCCACAAGGAAAAAAAATCCCAATTCGAGCACTGCACCAGAACCAACTTTAGGTCTAGGTTTACATCGAGGTTTCTTGACCAAGATTGCTCCTCGAAGGAAAAAAAATTTCCCCTCTGTTATGTGAACTGTAGGTAGAAGTTAAAAATATATATATAAATGGTTTATCCATCGATTTCCAATTTCGGGCCAACCGCTTCGAGCGAGTAGGTCCATCTCGTCTAAATTACGAAAGCTGCAATACATAGTTATACTTTTTAACGAGTTAAAAAGGCTGTCAAAAGTTCCCAATTGGACATCCGTTTAGTTCCCTGTTTATTTCTTTATCTGACATCGGAAACTCCCATTACAAGAACGGAGTCGAAAGCAAAAATCCCTGGTGAGGGAGGGAAAGGGTGGGTCTCAGATGGAAATTAAAATTCTTGAAACTCTCACAAGTCACCGATACATGAGATTAATCCTCGTGGAGAGGATTCCACTGCTCAGAGCCCGCAATCATCGTGCTTAAGATCGTGAAGCCAATAGCATTTCCTTCTTAGCATGCAAGGGACGTGAACTTCCTTCATACCGGTGTGCAAATAAAACACAGAAGAAAAGAGCAAAACCGTGAAAAAGACACCAACCAAAGCTGAAACGACGTCAGACTCGATAACGAACTAATCGGCTTAGGACCAGGCTGCTGTCACTGCCATCGCACGACTCGCACTGAAGGATCGCAGGGAGGGCACACGATGGGGTCGGCTGCTTTGTGACGTCACTGCTGGATGACTTCAAAGCCGGAAGGCAAGCTTTCCTCCGTCGCCGAGACCAATGCAGGAAGCTCTACGCTTTCTTCACGGGCCCGGTGGGAAGAGAGGAGGAAAAGTCAAGGTTGCCCAATGAATCTTAGATGTTCTTCATTCCTTTTCTTTTTTCCTGTGCGGTTCAGGCTCAGAAGAGTTTATTAAGACTTTATTTATATCATTATATATTTATATAACATATAAAGTTTAGATGGCGATATTAAAAGATTAACATGCATGCCCCTTCGGCGCTTAACAATCAAACTTCTAGCACTTTGAGCCCTGCAACCATCATACGACGTCCTACGCCCATAGCTCATTCAAATTGTCTGGGGTCGAAGTATTGAGGATCTGTCCCAGTCCTCTCTTCCTCACTTCCCCAATTCCTTTCACGAGTTTTTGCCCACACCGACAGCATCCCCCCTTGCCCATATTTCTTCAGAGAGAGCCGAAGTACGAGGATATTGGGAACCGAATGGACTATTTCCCGGCTCTTTGCCAGCTGGAAACGGTCCGAATCTACAGTTTTGCCCCAGCTGGAAAGTTCCAATTGGGATTTTAAACTGGGAGGGAGCGTGAGAAGTCTCTCAAGGCAGTGGGATTCCTCAGCGAGCCTCCTATCCACACTCAGGGGGAAACTGAGTATTTATAATATAAAAAACGTATATTTATCAACATTTTTAGATTTACGAGAGGTGTTTAGTTTCTCGACTGGAATTTGTGAGACCGATCTCCTACTTTGCCCTACAGATTTAATTGAGATTTCCAGCTGTTTTGTTTTTAAAGGCGTCCCCGCAGAGCCACAGTACAATACATGCAGCGAAATGTATCACAAAAAAAAAAATAAATACGTGCTGGGATCAATAAGACCTAGAAGTCCTCCATTATGCTTTACCTCCACTTACTCAAGACCGAAGATTTCTCTCACTCTTCCCAGGAAATAAATCCTCACTTGCAAGACAGTCACCCCCAACCCCCCCAACCCTTGCTCATGGTAATTCTCTACTTCTCCATCTCCTTCTTCCCCGAGGGTGGAGGATGCAGAAATATATGAGCAAACGACCTGAAAGTGGGGCTGGAAAGGCACAAAGATAGGAGGGTGAAAGGTTAAGGTCAAGCCAGTCACATGTAGCTACTCTCTTTAATAAAGTGAACCTGTGAAGGAAACGTCCTGCACATGTGACGCTACTGAATTTTTCCTGAAAGCGGAAGGACAATTCAAATATAAGGCGTGAATCACGTACAGGTTAAGGAATTTCTAATTAAATGTCTGCGCAGTGATATTTGGGATGAATCCCGAAATTGATTTAGTTCATTTTACGCTTTTTTCAGACATCGAATGTGCTTTTATCATTTAGAGTTCAAATTCCGTTTCCACCATTTCATGAAAATTTTCTTCGCTTCATTTTCTTTGTTCGCGCCGTCTTTCGTGTTTTTGTTGAGTACATCTCTCCTGATGATTTGATAACGCCTTCTTGCATTCGGAGATATTTGAAAGACAGGTCTTGAGAACTTCGAACTCCCCCCCCCCCAAAAAAAAAAAAAAAACTTTAGGGCTGGTTGCGCCACTGATTCTCACAATAGAGAAAAGGAACAAGAAACTTCACGCGCAGCGGACGCATAAAGACTAAACTGGCAAAGTTTGCCAGACAAACTCAAGACGGACTGTCACAACTGATAAACAGCAGTCAGACGACCCCCAACCAAAGGCAGAAGCCGAGGACGAAACCCATAGGACCAACTCCGTCCTTTATTCCAGAAGCTCAAGAACCGCCATGCGTGAGAGTCATGTGATTGACGAGCGATATCTTCCACTTGAACGCAGCGCTGCACCGGCCGCACCGATAAGCCTTGAAGGACGAATGGGCCCGAGTGTGCTGGTAGAGGGCGTTGCCCCTCCGGCTCGTCTTGTAGTCGCAGGAGCCGCAGAAGAACAAGGGGAAGCCGTTGGAGACGGTGCCTTTCCAAATCCCGTCTCGGACGTACTCCACGCTCTGTCAACGATATAGAACGATCAGTTTATTTTTTTTTACACCTCTTGGCCTTTCGTTGGTGGTCATTTTTATGCGCCGTGGATAAAACCGATGCAAGACCAGAAAGAATCGACACAGGAAATCTGGCAGGAATTTTATTGGCACAAGCCCACATTCAAACTCATCAAGAAAAATAAATCTCGTGACTATTCTTGAGGTGATTGGTGAGACCAGACCTCCACTTGAACGCCTCCTGGCAGACATTGCACTTGTAGGACTTGGCCGAAGAATGGAGGCGCCAGTGCTGGCTGACGGCGTTGCTGCGCTGAACCGTCTTGTACTCGCAGAGACCGCAGAAGAACAGCGTCTGCGTGCCCATTTGCCCCTTCCAGACCCCATTCCGTACATACTCCACGGTCTGAAAATTATATCAGATAACTTCTAATCTGAGTAATCGAAAACTTTGGGTCTTAAACAGGGAACGAGCGAAGCTAAGTCGAGTTAAATCGTCTACGCAATAAATGAAAGCCAGAGGGAACGTTCAATAGGGTTTATTTGCACACCATAGGGCACATTCAATTTATGATACTGGCTTCACTAAACACATCCTTGTTATGCACGAACAAGTGACTGTGGAGACTGTGCTTGGTGGTAAAGCCCCGACTGCAGTGAGGACACTGAAAGGGCTTCACCTGCATGTGGGTGTACCTGTGCCTCATGGCATTCCTTTTCGAGCTCGACCTGTAGTGGCAGCGGGCACAGAAGTACAGTTTCAGTCCTGCGCTTCCACTCACTTCACCCATCCACACCAGGTAATCTATCTTCTTCATCATCTGGTGGAACGAAAAAAAAGTCGCATCACTCACTTCTCGATATTTTTCACTGCACCGTGAGACATAGATGTTTCCTCAACCCAAATTAGATGCAACCCCATAACAAGGCATCAAGACAGTGGAAAAAGGAAGCAGGTCTAACAGCCTTTATTTTCATACCAGTATTCCATTCAGATTCCAATCCTTGTGCAACAGACATGAAAGAGCCAGACATCACAAAGAGAAGACAGAAGTGAAAAGGGCATATTGGGCAGACAGTAGATCCAAGTCATCATAAATAACTTCAATGCAGCACTTGGTTTTCAAGGAGGAGGTTGTTAGAGTGCAGATGACTTTGGCATGATGATCATGAACCACACAATCTTTTGTTTTATATATATTCACATACATAGGCATCAGCACTTGGTATTGCTGATTGCCTGAGAGCAAAGAAAATAAAGTGTTTATTTAGAAAATGTTGGGTTGTCAGTGGGAAGAACACAACACCTGAAAGTGAGTTCCAGGTATGTGAAAGAAGGCATGGCCTATGTATTCCTCTTTGGGGCTGCATAATTAAAAAAAAGCATACTCGAAGGGAACGATGATCATATCCAGCATGCAAAGGTTTTGAGAGGGGGAAGCAAGGAAGTTCATTGCAGGGGGCAGGGAAGAGAAGATGATAGAAGTAAAATATAGCAGCTAATTTGCAAAGGAATTTAAGAGAAAGGATGTCAATCAAAGGACTCATGAAGACAAAGTGGGCAAAAGCAAGGAATCTAATATAAATTTGCCCATTGAAATACATGGCAAAAGTATAATTAACAAAATTAGTGTCTCTTTCTTCCTTAGTGACAGGGAAGAAACTTCTATTACTGTTTTCAGAGCACACATATGGGCATTTTACCTCTGTCAGCAGCTGCACCTCTGACCATAGATGACCAGCCATACTAATAGGTGATCTTTTGGCAAAGGACTTAGTCTCACTAATGGTGTCTCACCTCTTGAATCATATCAGCCATCTTGAACAAAAATGAGGTCAGCAAAGGCCATATAAAGTTCAAGGGCAAATGGATGAGGAGTGGACTAAGGGATCTGGAGGCATAGAAGCCATCATCCTGTAAAGATGCTGCACATGCCCTACCTCTACAATAATCTAACAAATGCTAGAGATATCGTTAGTTGTCAGAGGTAGGGTTTTTAGTGCTGTCACCTTGTGATCATCATGTATGTGAAAGGGATACTTCCTGTAATTGTGCAATGGTTGTGAGATTCAAATTAGAATGTAAGTGGTGAGTATTAGAAGCTCTCAAATTCCATATTTTGTAGTTGACACCTGAGTAATAAGCATAAAATGTGTGTGATTACCTGAGTTATAAACATCTTTTAAGGCCATATGTCAAGACATACAATAGAGAGAAAATATATCACAAGGGCATTTGGGTGATGCCTACCATCTAGTAGCTAAAAAAAAATACAAAAATTCACTTGCAATATAGCAGAATATCAGGGCTTCAGAGTGAGAATTTGACTACGAAGGAAAAATCAAAGCCTGGATTCTTGTTTCTCAAAGCAAGAATGGAGTTTGCCTCAGAAAGATAGCTCTCTTGATTGCTTTTGAATATCTTCTCATTCAAGTGCCCTGATTAATCCTCAAGCCCTGTAGTCAAAGGAGCCCATGGAGTCAAGACAGAATGCTAGGCTTCAGGACTGAGACTTTCTGATGTTACCGCAGTATCATGTGCTTAGACTTATTGAGGACATCTGCTGTGTGGTAAAAATAGCTCTTCAGTCAGACCATGGGACTTTGCTTCTTAAAGCAGTAACTAGTAATTTAATTTAAATCAGCAGTAGTCCTTTGCACTTCTAGTTCCAAGAGGATTTATCATTAAATTGAGGGAGTCCACTTTTATCATAAAAAAGAAAGAGATTCAGAGTCTCACACAAAATAAAGCACTGATTCAAGAGGTATGAGGAAGAAAACTGAGGCATTCCACATTATATCTCTGACCTCAATGACTTCAGTACTCAGTTGAAAACTGGACCAAGAATCTACAAACTGAATCCCAAGTATTGATTGAATGTTAGGAGTTGGGTAACTCTATATCCACTCCCATGGCCATCACATTAAGTGTTTTATGAGATTTCCTATAACTCTCTTCCTGCTCATGCCAGCAATTCAAAAGCTGAAATCAGAATGTGGGAAACCATTTTGGAAGTTATGCAAACATTCTCATGATTGAAACATGGAGGTTCATTCAAATGTCACATACTATGGGAATCTTTGTCATTTGGAAGAGAGTCAGAAGAAACAGCTACATCTGAACTTCAATCAGTGACAAGTTACTCACTGGTAATATCCAAAATAATCTTGCAAAAACTTTTAGTGCTAGCAGAACTTCCAAGAATGGCTCGCTGTGGCACATTAAGAGTTGCCAACATCAGTTCTGGTTTGCCAAAACATCTTTGGCAACAGTGGCTAGTGATTATGAAACTTGACTAGTGAAAGTCTTCTTCCTGATCTGTCCCCAGACTTTCAGTGTCTGTGGGCTCCCAGATGAATCCTGTAGTCCAGTAATTTGTGTGACTTTGGGTCACTTCAAAGGAATCCAAGTCACAGCATTTTGGTTTCCTCTGATTAGGAATGTAATAATGCAGAAATTTTCCAATATACTGATAAATCAATGTATAATTTTTTGATATTTGAAATCTGCACTTGACAACTGATACTAAACAAGCACCTGAAATTTGGTTTGGATGACCTCTATGATAATCATAAAAACAAGCTACCATCAGGAATGCTTGAATGGGCCTCAGCATGGAAATCAGTCTCAATAATACTGTTGTATCATTAACAAAAGGTTCCCCTCAGCTACAAGAAACTAGATTTTTGACCCAAAAGTACACCCATTCAGTTTCTGTGAAGAATCTTGATGCATGATATCTGGTTCTTGTTCAGTTCCAAGAGGTTCCCTCTGTGGTATATTTCCATCAAAATGAATACAAGCAATGAAGAGCAAGGGTGGAAATGCTTCATCTTAGCAATTTGTTTTTTCTACAGCTCACACATACTGGGTAAGCAAGAAGTCTACAGCAAATTTTATGATCTAAAAGTTCCAATAAAGTGCAAGAGCAGCAAAAGTTATAATAAAAAAGAGTGAAGCTTGAAGTTTCTGACAGAGCATGTCACACATTTTTCAGTGTTATTCACTGTGGCAGCCCTCAGTATCCCAGTAGTTCAAGTTCAGTGGACTCACAAAGTTTGTGGAAATGAAGAGACTTTCATGATGACGGCAGATTTAAAGTCCTCAATTGATTTTGTCACTATGATGCACTTAATACTTCTGCACTAAAAAGACAATCTGAAGGAAACCTACAAGTCAAAAGAGTTTGCAGTAAGCCATAAACCAGTGAAGATATTAATGGTTTTTATTATGATGGAGAGCACCAATGTCTACATGGAATAGCAACAGCACCTTGCAAAATCATTTATGGTACTTCATTACGTGAAGTGCCAAAAGCTGCTTTCGAGCAAACTTTTTGGGGCAGGATGTACAAAGAAATGGTTTCACATGTATACGATTGTGCTGAAGGGCATTACCCTTGTGGCAGCCAGCAAAGGGACAGATGGCACAGAAGAAGAGTTTCAAATTTGATGAAGTTCTCCCCAACCAAATATAGTCTTGCAGATGTTCCACATTCTACAGGAGAGATGGAATTCAACAGGTGTATTTTGAAGAGGTAGAGGGAAACAGTTTTATCTGCCTATTGAGTTACTACTAGCCAAAGCACTTGGTGAGCACATTAAAAAAATATTTCCTGAAGCCTCTTTCTCCAATAGAACTACTAGTCCTACAACAGAAGGCCAAAATATAGCCCATGGGCCATATATCCTTTGGTCACACCAGGTTGCTTTGGAAAATTCTCATTGGCTTCATGATCCAAAGCCAAAGTCCATATAAATGGGATTGAAACCATTTCCTTCACTTAACCTAAGTTTCATGCATCAAGTTCAGAAAGCACATATGGAATCTGAAAACCTGATAGTTCTGGTTCAGAAAAATCAAGTCTTGTATGTTTAAGCCACTTTTTATTCAAACTGGGATGTGTGAGATCATGCCAAGAGGAATACCACTGTTCGCATGAGTGGTATAAGGCCTTACAAGCCTCACCTCATTCAAGTTGATTAGTTTAAAGCCTTCTTATGACTTGTGAAGGAAAGCATTAATCCCTGTAATTCTAGGAAGTATGGTAAGTGGTTATTAGCAACCATGTCTCACTCCTCCATGAATGACAAATATGCAATCAAAGCTGTTGGGAATTTTGTTACCATCCTACACTAGTTATATATCTATCTACAGTTAGCAATGCTGCCAGTCCTTAGTATGATAATATACAAAGAGTACAGGGTGAATATGAAGAAGTATTCCACTTCTGAGCTATGTAATTCCTCAACTATGGGGTGTAGCATGATGCCATTGCAAAGGTAAGACAAGTGACACACAGGATCGCATCACCATTGGGATTACCATTTGTAGTAATTTCCACAATCTGACCCCTCTGCACTCCTGTGAGCTTCATGATACATACTAAGTAGCTGCATATTAGTAAAAAACTGTGTATTTTTACAGCTTTTCCTTTGGCACATCCGGGCAATGCACAATGTATGCAATTTTGGCAACCAGGTGGCAAGATTTTGTGAGTGCTGCAATTGATTTCCAATTTTTCACTTCTCATACCTGTGGAATGGCTTCATTGTGCATCTTAGGCATGGTGACACTCTGAACTGGAATACTTCCTTCATAACTTCAAAATCACTCAATACATTTGAACAAAAGCACTGCTGGTAGCACTTCCTGTTGCAAACTATGGCTTTCCCATGCACCCCTCTGGGAATTCCGATAGCAATTTTAAAGATTTCAATTAAAATTTAAGGTCATTATCTCCAAATGGATCTCTGATGCTTAGAATGACTTTGCATGGGTGTAAGTTGCAGAGTTTCAGTACTAGTAGCCTTGCAGGTATTTTCAGGACAAACTATGAAATGGAATACTGAATAACAACCAGGTTTCCATGCCAAAGTGCTATATACACTTACAACTTGAAAAAAAAAAATTCTTTTAGAATAACTTAAGTCAAAGGCATCAGAAGCAAAATCATTTGAAACCTAGAGCCCTTAAAAGAAGGTAAATTTAAATTACTCAATCTCCATTTTTTATATTTATTTTTTTGCTACATGTGCAACTTCAGTCATCTTACAGGAAAATATAATTGGTGTAGTTCATGTAAAAAGAGAGAATTGTACAAACCTGGGGATCAACTTCTGCTGGGACATTCAGTGGCTTCTCAGGATCTCCTTCCATTCCTTCCACACAATACGAGCCTCCAGACTGCTCATCCCATTGTTCATCCCACTGATGCTCTTCCTGCAAAGGGCAGATATGCAAATCACATTCATCAGATAAAGGGACAAAGAAGAGTATCAAAGCATCAATCAGTCTAGCTTGAAATGGAGACACTAACAGCAGCTGCAGCAGCTGAATCCACATCACGGATATCATTGAGTTCTTCGTCATCTGCTTCATCTTTAATCAACACTTCATCACTTGATGTGCTTGTACTAGGTTCAGGGTGACTCAAGAAAGCATTAGATGGGCATGGTGCCTGTAAAGGACATTAAAAATATGAATTACACTCTTAAGAGACATTTGATTACGATGAGCACAAAACCTGAGGACATACTGCCTCTTTTTGCTGAGAACTTGATCCAGTGAACTGAGACCTGCTTTGAGGTATAGGAGCATGAGATCTAGGTATTTTTGCAGGAGGATACTGTGAATTCCCAAGTCCATGCCAAGCCTGGACAGCACTCTTCCTCTTGTGAGCCAGAGCATCATGAACATCAGACACAGGGATGGTGGTTCCGCCAACAGCATTGTGCGATCCACTGCTCTTTGACTTGTCTCCCTTAAGTCCCTTCACTTCCAGGTTCTCAGCAACTTCAATGAATTTCTCAAGATCCATAGCTGGAACTTCTACCTCTCCACAGTACATGAACTCAACTAGAAGCTTAAGCAAATGCATTTCTATGCCATAGAAATGAATGGTAGGTGTCCCTGATCCTTCTTTGTTGAGGATTCTTTCAAAATATCCACTCCCTGCACACAACACTAGCTTGTGGGCTTTCAAGAACTGCCCATTGCACGACAGAGTCGCATCCACAAACATCTCCCTGTGACGGAGATTTTCAAAGCTTTGAAATGTTTCTGCATGATGGGAATTCCACTTCAAATTGTATTTATTGGACATGGCTTCTTCCTTCAAGTCTGATGAACCTGCATGAAGACAGCACAAGAGGTCTCCTAAGATATGAGAGATTAACTCAATAGGCTCCCCTAATAATAATCTACAAACCACAGATATTTAAAAAAAAAGCCAGAATTAAAACAAAGTGAAAATATGCTATGTCCAGGCCAAATGACAGACAATTATATAGGCTGAATTGGTAGCCAGTCTGCAATGAAAACTTTATCCCAAGATATAATTTGGCAATTTTCTTCAGCGTACATGTTTCATGGAAAGGGCTGCCTATCTGGTATGCAAAAATTTCCACAGTGTAAGGCCTAACTCTCCACAAGTCAACCATAGGCCTAACAAAAGGAGTCCCAGCCAACATTACCGCTAGCATTCTACGTCCTGGCCTTTCCATCATGATCCACTCCCTTCGCGTGCACCATAAATCCAATCGATATTCACCCAGCCCCGCCACCCATAAAGCCTCACACTAACCCCGAAAACGTAGGCCAATTCACGTATTTATTGCATCACGGCCAGTCCCTCGACCCGGCTGCACCCCAACCAGCGCAAGTACCAAACCACGAAGTACCGCAAAAGCTAGAGGCGGCCATGTCATGCTTTCCCACTACATCTAGAGCAGTGCTTCTCAACCATTGTTCCCTAATTCGTCGATCGGCGCAACAGGTGAACGGGGGATTTTTAGCAGGGGGGAGGGGGCGAGGGGGGCGACCGCCAGAATAGCATTTGATTTATTTATTCAAAATAGCATCTGCATTAAATCTTTTGGAGCCAATTAAATAGATACTCAAGTTCTTCCCCCAGACGAAAATATAAAAAAGGACGAGGAATGGTGGTGGGGGGGGGGGGGGTAGGTAGGAACCTGGGAACCGCCCCCCCTTTGAAAAATTTATGTATCCGCCCCTGATTTTTAGTAATAAAATTCCACCGAGAACATCGCAATGATGACTTTCCTCGCCCCCCACCAACCAACGCCTCCCCTGTGTCAACCCTCCATCCTTGGACAGTCACACATTTTAGAGAAGGTGCGAGGGAATGAGGAAGGGGGAGAGGGGGAGAGAGAATGTTTTGCAGATTAATTTGTCCTTAGCACTTCTGGTAAAATTCAACCAGTCTGTGAAATAAAACTTGAGAACCGCTGATCTAGAACGGGATGAACTTGTGAGACGGAACAACAACAAAAAAAAATTATATTTTTCCTCATATTTGAATGGACATTTCCCCTCCCCTCGTTTTTGTTTTTTCTTTCTATTCCAAACGTGATTCTCGTTCCTCCACTGGAACTTCGACGAAAATCTCCTAGATATTCGGTGTTTTTACTGCATGCTCTTTGGAGCCGATAATTTCGAACAGTGGAAGGCCAACCACCTACAACACCACAGTGACCTCTTAACCTTTCCCCCCACGGCGGGGGCAGATCGCGCGCGATGGAATTCAATTTCTCTGGATTGATTTATCTCCTGGCCTTGAAACTTTGCTTGATTTTTCTACACATATTTAGGAGTTTTAAAAACACGTTTCATCGAGTGAATCCTTTTTGAAGACCGTTTTGGGCGATTAGTACGATTACCGAAAAATCGGAGTGCTTGGCAAATTTTCTCTCAATTTTCATCCCAGCAGCCTCGAAACTCTCACGATATGGGAAGAGCATTCTACAAGAAGTTTATCATTGTTCTATACCACGGACCCAAGGCGCGCACATTCGTCAAAACCCACCAATTTAGAGGAGCTGAAATCCCCCGAGCATACTCGTCATACCCAGTTCACAGGAAAGAGCCGCAGCACGATTCCGAGGTCACCCTCGCGGACAACCTCCACGTCCTCCAGCGAATCCCAGACTGATTCCACCCCCCCCCCCTCGTTTTTGTTTTTTCTTTCTATTCCAAACGTGATTCTCGTTCCTCCACTGGAACTTCTCCCCCCCCCCTCCCTCCGTCCCCCCCCCCCCCCCCCCCCCCCCCCCCTCCACCGAAAAGGCAAGAGAGGAAGACGCGCGGACGGGAGGTCGGCGGCAGACGAAAGCACGAGCGAGCCGAGGAGGCGGCTGGCACGGATTTGCCTTCGCCTGACGCGCTGTAATATGACCATTCACTTTTCGCCTTTTCTACGCTCACTCGAGCTATATAAAAGAAAAAACGAAACTTGCATCGTGTAGTGATGTGTTCCCAACAGACCGCGATTTCATCCGAATCGGTCCACCAAAGCAAGGCTGTGAGCAATTACTCTAAAGAAAATCGTAAATTGAAAATAGGGAACTTTTGTCCGTTTGAAGTGATTAAACTCCGCCTCCCTCCTCCAGTGCCAACCAAATTAAATATTTAAATATATAAAACTATATCGATACGTATCAATTCGTAGTCGTTAATTTGCAAGTGTCGTGTTCGTGTACCCATGTACCCAGCCCCTTCACCTTGGAGGACTACTTTCCCCGGCCGGCTTCGCCCTCGAATGGCTTCTCTGCGGTGCCCAGCCGCGAGGGAGGCATTCATGTTCGTGCGTCTCCGAAGTCTCTCCGGTGAATTCCTTGCTTTGGCGGCGTCTCTTCGTCACCGATGCTCTCTCTACGAGACGGTCCCTTTTCCTCTGTCGTCTTGTATCAAACGGAACTGACCGTTGAACCGCTGTGTATATTTCTGGATCACGTGAGGGAAGCCAAAGGACACACGCTATCCTACTCTCCTTAAAAAAAAAGGCTTTGAAGCATTCCTTCTTTGACGATGGCACCCACGTGACACAAGTAGCTTAACAAAATCACCCGCAGGAAAAAGTGGGGAAAAAAGCACAAGTTCTTGTCTACTTTCAACATCGATTTCCCTTCAATAATTGCTTATATCTCGCCCGGCTTCGAAGAAATCCAATTAATTACACTTTGAAGATCTGTTGGAAACCTCCAGCTCAGCCTGGTGAAAATTTCGCGGAAGCGGAGACGAATCTGTTCCGAGTCCTTGGTCTTTATTGCTCGACTTAAACCAGAAACCTAACCACTGCTTGGCTACTTTCCACTGATTGTAGTCACTTTCGAAAGTCGATCCCACCGCCACAACCGACTTCCGCGCCGGCCTCGAACCGAAGCGAGGCTGCAGTGGTTTCTCTCTCGATCTGTCGAGAGAAAAACCACTGCAACTATGTTGAGATGGGAAACGAGAACGAAGGCCTTCCCGACTTCTTTGCAAGTGTTAACATCACAGAGTACCAGCCCAGGTACAGATCTGCTATTCCAATGGCCCCGATACCTTTGGAATTATCTTCTTCGCCACATCCTAACCATCTGACCTTGAAATAAATAATAGTTGTAATCGGCACGGCATAAGCTCATATGAAAAGGTCCGGGCGACTAGACGTGTTCTCGATGGTTCGCGCGTCCACGTCGCGTGGAGATGGGAGGACAGCATGAAGTGTAGGATGTCAGATGCGGAATTCCACATCTGCGCATAGCAACCCTGTATACTCTGCCACGAGCAGCCCCTCTCTCCCATTGTTTACTATTGACGCGTCATCCGCGAGTGTTGGAAAGGAAGTGGATGTTTTAGTCGTAGACTGGCACCCCGACCCAGGCGGAAAGCTGCACATGCGCAGTGAGTCGTGTCGTCCGGTTGCTATGGATATTGCGGACAGACGAAGGCAATATCTGCCATTTCCACATAGTACCTTTGGGAATAGCAGATTAAACTTGAGATTTTAGCTGAAGGTCAGCAGAAGGCATGGCGAAACCTGCGGAGAGAAAGTAGTGAAACAATTCGAGTCCGAATCTTCACGAATGTAATAGACAAGAGTTAACTTCAGGAATTCCAAAAAGTTTTTCCTGCACATCTACAGGTTTCAAACCACATTTCATCGATCTAAATTTTCTAGGCCAGTGGTTCCCAATCTTTTTTTATTTGTGGCACACATAAGGACACTTGAACTTTCCACGTCGCACCCAGCCATTTACTTACATTCAATGGGAAACTTGTGCTTGCTTCGTTGAACACAGCAATTTGATACGAGGCGTGATAGTGCATCTCTAAGCTCGTTTTCCACTGAGAGATGGCGTTCCCTCTTGTTTTTAAGTTTTTATAGCTTTAGGAATTTAGTTTTTTCCGTCAACTCTCACATCTCACGGCACACCTAAGCATCACTGTCGGCACACCGTTTGGGAAACACTGTTCTAGGCGACCGTTTTGGATGGATAGTATAACCTTACAGCCGCCATTGAAATTGGGAGTTTGGCAAGTTTTTTCCGTGAATATTCGTCACACACCCTTGAAGCGCTCCTCGATTTCATGGTACATTAATACGAGCGTGTGAACCAAATTTCATCGAGATCGCTCAATTCATTCTCGGTTGCGCAATTTTCATGGATTGTGAATCTTTCAGTTGGTGTTCTGGATTGCCAGAGTAACGAGATCCCAGGGGCCTTATTTCTCCGAAACAATATCAGAAAAGTCGGGAACTAATGATATTCCCATAATATAATGTGATAAAATATGTGATTTTATTATTTTTCTGTTGGGGAAATGTATACAACAGAAACGGAAAGGAAACGATACAGATGCGGATCTTCCTCAGCCAAAAGCAAGCCGTAGAGAAAACTAAAAGCGAAGAAAACTTATACAGCAGCCTCGATTCACCCTTCAAACGAACTCTCGGACCTGTTGAGAGAAAAACCAGTCATCGGGGGAACGACACTCGAGCAGAAAAATAAAAACCCGAGAAAATGAAAAGACTCACAGCAGCCCTGAGAGCGTGATCGAGTTCCTCGATGAGGTCTTGAGGATCCTCGAGTCCGACCGAGAGTCTCACCAGGTTATTCCCGATTCCCAACTCCTCTCTCTGCTTATCCGGAACCGACGAATGGGTCATCAGAGCCCTAAACGACCAAAAATGAATACTCCGTATTTATTTCCTCGCCTCCCGACACGCGATGGCATATCACAAACGTAAAAAAGAAAGAGAAAATAAATCGCACTAACGGGAGTTCGGCCAGACTCTCGAATCCACCGAGACTTTCGGCGAGCGTGAAGAGCTTGAGATGGGAAAAGAAAATCTGAGATTCCTCCAGGCCTCCCTTGATGTAAAACGACAACATCCCGCTGTGTCCCTGCATCTGCTTCTTCCCCAATTCGTATTGCGGATGACTTTCCAATCCTATTCCGAACATTCAGTTCTCGAAACATAAAATACAACCACCACCACCACCCACGAGACAAGGCTTCTCAGACCTGGATGAAGAACCTTCTCGACGCACGGATGCTTCTCCAAGAACCTCGCAACGATGAGAGCAGCCGTCATGTGCGCCTGCATCCTCAACGGGAGAGTCCGGACGCTCCGAGTCACCAAGTAGCAGTCGAACGGCGACGGCACCGTCCCCATCGCTGAAAAATTCCCTTCGTTACCCTCGCAGAAAAATTCATCCCCACGGAGAGACGAAACCGAGTACAGTTCTGAAGGAAGGCGAGTTCCTCGTAGAGCGCCTCGTCGTTGATGGCCACGGCCCCCATGATGACGTCGGAGTGACCGTTGATGTACTTGGTCACGGAATGCATCGACACGTCCGCTCCCAGCATCAGCGGTTTCTGCCAAAACGCAATTCATTCCATCCACTCTCGTTCGAGAAGACCCACATCCGCCGACCGGCATCTTATCAGTAGCCATATCAGAGCTCGAACATCTCCTTCATTTTTTTCTCCCTCTTTTTTTTTCTGGGGGGTAGGGGGCTAAGGTCTCCAGCCAATATATGCAGAAGTCAAAGAATATGAACCTGGAAGTAAGGCGTCATGAAGGTATTGTCGACGACGACAATGGTACCCGGTTGTTGGTGCGCCATGTCGGCCACCTTCTTGATGTCCACCAACTTCATGGTCGGGTTCGTCGGCGTCTCCATCCACACCATCTATTCGCAATCGAGCAGCAACATTCCACTTTCAATCCGAATGCTCGCAAGCTCGCTGAGGAAGATGACGTCACTCGTCCAATGCACCTTGGTCTTGGGCGTCATGGCAGAGAGGACCTTATCGGGATGATTGGCCATGTCCACGAAGGTCACCTGGATGTCGGATCGATTGAGAACCTTTCGGAAGTACCGGTTGGACCCGCCGTAAAGATCGTCATTGCTGATGACGTGGTCCCCGCTCTTCAACAAGTGCAGCAGGGTCGTCATCGCCGACAGCCCCGACGAAAAGCAAAGCCCTGTTCCGTACAAATCCCATGCAATGTTCTCGAAATTTAGGGCAATCGGGATGCGAGCTCGGAATGGAGGGGCGAGAGAAAGGGATCTCCACTACAGCTCGTCCACTGGAGCTATTTTCACGTAACTGTGCATGGGCTCAGTGGTTCTCGACTGAATTGAAATTTTATTTAAATTCGTCGCGCACACGAGTATACAGTAAACGCGTGGGAATTAATCGTCTCCCCCTCAATCTCCTTGTAAAATATCAGAAACCCTACGGCGACTACGTTCAAATGGGAAAGAGAAAGACTTCTTTGTGAGTGTTAGCATCACAAGTGAGCTTTTAGCCAAAGATCAGCACAAGGCACGGCGAATCATTCCAGAATTAAGTAGTGAAAGAATTCAAGTCCGAATCTTCACAAATAATATAGAGAAGAGTAACACAAGTAAACCCCCCCCGCAGTGCTGCCATCTCCCAGCTGAAATCTACTCTCCTTTCCCCCCTTTCCATTCTCTCCCCTCTCTCTGAACAAAAATAGAAAGAAGCAGGCAGTGGAGGGGAAAAACGACATGGAATCGCGAGGAGTTCCCTCAAACCCCAAACTAAAGAAAGGACGCAGTGCTACCTTAACGATAGGCTCTCATCATACCGTATTTGGCGTCTTCCAGAGATGCTATGCATCTCTCCAGACACTGCCTCGACGGGTTGCCGCTTCGCCCGTATTCGAAACCCTGTGGGAAAAAAATAATAATTTCTCTCTCTCTCCTCAAACCTAACCCTTATCGGCGTCATCAAACGATTGGAATTGCCATTGATAAATGAATCGGGGCAGGTTCCAAGAAAGAACCTGTTTACACTATAAATCAAAAACATATAATGTCGTAGATGGAATGAGATCCAAATCTTCCAATCGCGAAAGAATTCATAAATTGAGGCCTACTACTGGGTGCCACGAAACCGCAGTTCCCCTCTCTAAAAGATCTCTGCGATGGTGAAGCAAAAAAATATCTGACTTGCATGTTCAATTCTACATGTTACAGGCTAAATCAGAGTATTGCGCGTGCCAAGCACCGGCCTTAATTAGGGCTTGGAGGCGAAAAGGTCCTCGTCACGAAGAAGTGTCAATTGGCCAATATTGCTGGGGTGGTTTGTTTTTTTTTTTTTTTGGTTGAGCATGCTATTCCATTTCCGCAGGAGCACGAGAATCCCTTGGGCATTGACGATACTTATCGAAGACCAGGACCCTTGTTTCAAAGCCCTCACCACTAAGCAGCAACTGGAAGGACAACATCGACTTCTTCAGTATCAGAGAATGCTTATGGATTCACCCAAGTTCAGAGTCTGCGAAAACACAGGCTTAAAGTTGCAAGGAGTCGAAGATCTGACTGCCTCTGAACCCCTTTGGCAGCAGTTTTCCCACGGCCGCTTTTGGAATACGTTATTACAATACTTCGAACTTTCGAGCTTGACACCGTAAATAGTTTGCAGCCCTACTCATCTCGCCTTCGAGCTGCCGTGAAGGTGACGAGCTCACAATACTCGGATTCAGCCTATAAATGTCGAATCGAATATTTAGTTCTGAAATTGTTTTGATCCGTCGCAGCTCTGCTGCAAAGGTAGATAAGGCTTAGTGGCACCCTGTACATTCTTGGAAGATATATCCGAGAAACATACGGCGTGATGGGACGGAGCAAATTGCTTGAAGGTCGTCGACAATGTTATGGGCGGGACGACATCCTTCGCCTTCCAATCGTCAGGGTCGTGTCCTTCGTGGACGGCCCTGGTGGCGAAGCGAGCCCCTGCCACATACTCCTTCATGCTCCGCGTTTCGTGCACTGGGCCCATTCTCGAATCTCCTTCGCTAGGTGGGGGAAACGGATGTCGGAAGTGACGTCGGGGGGATCCTCGATCGTGACTATCCCCAGGCGCCCTTCGTACATCTACAGTTCGTCCAAAAATGTTATGGAGTCGATGCATGCACGTTAGCGCCACTCATCCTCAATGGCAGATACGTCGGAAGGTTTTGTGGTATCTAGGGGGATTTTTTTACTCTCCCTGGTAGAATACAGAATTTTGATAAATCCGCGGGTTTATTGAAATCGTCACCACGTCACGTGAATGTCAATACGCTCTCGGGAGATTCTACATCTCCCTGTCCCACCGCGAACAATTCTTCGTGTTTTGCAGAAGGGTGAAGGCTTTCTGAAGGGTTTGAAGAGAGCCGCGCCGGTTACTGCCTGCCTCCACTGAAGAAAGAAAATACATGAAAGGCCGTGATAGCGCAGACGCAGGTTTCAGTGCGGGCCCAACAATACGTTTTTGGGGAGCTGGCGCCATTAGCGAAAACGGAATCTCTTCCACCAGACGAGAAAATTATGTTAAGTCTCCGCCCACTTTTATACGCGGTCTCGCTCCCAACCTTTTAAGCAAACTTTCAAATGGCGATCGCTCTGCAGCGCCAGGCGAGCGAGCCGGTCGAGGGGCCTGACGTCACCGTGACCTTGAACGCCTCAAGGCCAAAAACAGGATACTAAAGGGAATTGCAGGATGCGTCTGCAAGTTCGAGACGCTGTCGCGAGAGGGAACCCGTGTTCGAAGAATAACTTCATTGTTAATTAACTTCAATTTTATATCGCTTCGAGAATCGTTCCCATATTTATTTTTACTCCATTTCTCCCAAGGGGTAAACAAATGAAGCAGAGAGAGCGAAAGCGCGTGATTTTGGAATTTCTCTAACGTTGGAGGTAATGCGATGAAAGCACTTCAAGATGGAAAGAATTAACTCCCAAAAGTCCACAAAATCTAAGGCAGTCTCCCGACGAAACTTTTGGATAAAAACACAATGAAAGTTAGTCATTTAGTACCCTTCCCAATAGAGGTACAGGACCTTACGAAATATCACGATAAAAAAAAAAAATCGGACAGAGCAAATGGGGATCCAGGAAGGAATCCGTCGCACTGAGCTATCTGTAGCCTACGATTTCACACGACGATAAATCGTCGAAGCCGACTCGTGTCAAACCTTGTCTCGAAGCGCCTGCACGTAGAATTACGACTCTCGGCGCAGAGGAACTTCACGCGAGTCGAGCCGGAGCAGAACGAACGAGCCAACCGAACGGCGCGGGGCAGCGCGGCCCCACCGAAGGGGGCAGACATCTTACTCTGCTCTGTGCAGAGTTGCGATCTGGGTTTTTTTGGCACGCGACGGTTTTGCAGGTGGGGAGGGGGAAGGTCGCCGGTTTCAACGTGGGAATCGATTGCTGATGTGACTTGCCTCTGTGAACTCACGGCACGGATTGCATCCCAATTCATCTGCGAATTTCACGTTAAAAATCTGGTTTTAATGGAAAAGGTTTTGATGGAAATTCAGAAATTCTAAAATTGCATCACCGAAAGCATAGTTGTGCGTGTGACGTTCAGGTACGGAACAGGCTCCGGTTCTGGAATATTTCACGGATGGATTGCTTACATCGAGACGAAAAGTCCGCATGCATCCAGTGAAGTCTTGGATCCGATCCAAATCCCAGAAGGAAAAATTCAAAGAAACGCACGCCCACCCCACTAACAAGTTTTAAATTCGCATCGCGCCCCCTCAACGCACCCACCCCCCCAAGGCGTAACCCGACCCCAGACAAAGCATAAAAGCGAACAAACAGACGAAACGAAAGACGAGAAGGTACCTCCAAGCACGACCTCAGCAACAGACGAAGCACAACCGGACCTCACCTCGACCAGCAGGCGACTGAGGCGCCCTCCCCCTGACTGAGGCGCCCGGTGCACCCCGCCACGCACAGGGTCAGGCAACAAAAATCCTTCCACCCCCTTGCTCCCTTGCACCGGGCGCGTGTCTCCTCAATTTTCTCACCCTAATTCTCTTGGCACGGCCAGGAGAAATTATTCAAAGGATCGACATTCGTTCTTTGGGCTGACCTCTTCTCGTCGAAAGTTCCCATAAGCGTTTTCTTAATTAGTGACCGATGAATCGATGGGTAATCAACACGGGGGAGCATGCTCAGAATTCAGACTTTCAATTTCCGACTTATTTTCAAGAATGGTCTTGCTTAGGCAATACCGAAAGAAATTTACGAAGAAAATTGATCCAACCCGATCAGCTGAAAGTCGCTTTGCATTTTTTTTTTTGCAATACCCTGTAAAAAAATTTTTTTGGCCTGCAAAACCGGCCGGACCAATCGCAATCAGACGCCACGAAATCGCTGTGACTGTTCATTTATGAGCCGGCGTGACCCGGAAATTGCGAGCGGATTCACACCGATTACACTCATATATGCGGAGTCACGGCAAAATCCCTTTTTTTTGGCACTCCAAATGCATTCATCTACGAAACCTTTCCCACAAGCTAACGTGCTGGTGTGAATTCTGGATTTATTCAGACTATTTATTTATTTTTACTGCGAAATTTCGAATCAGATGGTTTCACCTCAGATCTGCATCTCGTGCCGCCGGCTTTCTCGGAGGTCCGGCAAAAAAAAAAAAAAAAAAAAAAAAAAAACAGACTGGAAAAGAACGTTCTGATAGATTCGATCCCTCGAGAAACCAAAAACGGCTCGCACGGTTGAAGAAGCTGCGTGTCGCGCAACCATCACTCATTCCTTCGGTCCTTCCATTTAAACCCTGCAACTACCAGAACCCAGATGGTGATTCGTCGATCACACGTCTTCGTGTAAATACACGGAGCATCGGAAGTTTACGGCGCATCCTAAAAAACGGTTAATTTGATTGGACCGGGAGCAGCAATCACAGGTTAATCACCTCGCCCGCTGGTTGGACCCGTCAGCGCGTGGGGCCGGACGCCTTCGCAAGAGCTAAGGCTTCGACCTTCTTCCCCGGCGCCGACCGTCCTAATGAGGGGTCGTGGGGTCCGGGGCAGCCGGGGGGGGGGGGGGATGACGTCATCGACACGTCACGGGTGTGGGGGAGGGAGTGGAGGTTAAGCCCCGCCCACTTTCGCTGTCACCCCTTTCTCGATCCAAGAAAATCTGGAGAAATGGGACTCTTCTTTATCGGGGGACGCGAGATCCGTGGGACCCGTTTCGTTTCGTTCCGAGTCCTGCCGTGCGATCGCGACGCAGAGCCGTTTCGGCCCGCGAGCGCTGCCGCGTGGCTCGACGGCGCGCGAGCGCTGCCGCTAGGATTCGCGTGGCTGGATCGTACCTGGCGGTATCGTGGAGGCGAGGCGAGGTGTTGCACGTGGGAGACGGAAGAAACACGGAGGGAGGAGGCAGCTGGGGAAGGAAGGCCGGTCGCGGGGTTTCAAAGCGGGGGGAATGGCTCTCGTCGATCGATACATCACATACTACAAAGGGTGGAGACAGTATGCATGCCTTCCCGGCTCCTCGCAACCGAATGACACTCTCGAATCGAAGGCTTTTTTTCGCACGTAAAGAGGGGGAGAAGGAGGGGGGGGGGGGGGGGGGGGGGGAATTGTTGCTGAGGTCGTGCTTGGAGGTACCTTCTCGTCTTTCGTTTCGTCTGTTTGTTCGCTTTTATGCTTTGTCTGGGGTCGGGTTACGCCTTGGGGGGGGGGGCAAGAAATAGATGATGGGATAAGTAGGGTTGATGTGATGGGGGGCGATGGATGATAAGGGGAAAAATGCTAGCACGAGATTTTGTTCATGTGAAGTCGTGCATCCATTTGAGACACACTGCCCATTTCGTGTACCGTCCTCTCGCTCTTCCATCTCTCGTGATGTCGACAACAGAGCATAAGCGTCGTGTGGATGAAAAAGTAGAGAGGGATAGGGGGACTCCGAGACACCGTTCTCATGCATTTCATGCGTCTTTTCCCTCCCAATTTTTTTTTAGGGGGGAGGGGGGGGTAGAGCCACTTCTGGGACCCCCGATGCAACGCTACTGCTGTAATGGATCTGTAATGGATCACGGCTACCGGCGTATGAAAGGGTTGGGACTGGAGAAAACGAGCAGGTCTGTGAAGGAGTAACATAAAATATAATTGAACCGAAACCCTTCGATTCGAGAAATGATTAGACCAGAAATTCCAGCTTTTTACAGGCACGACTTCGGGCCCGAAATCTTTATAACCTCTCTGCTGAGCGAGAATTTCCCATTCTTAGCGATTCGATATCGCTGCCGATTGTTGTCCAAAACGAGCAGGCTTCCCATTGAGATCGATCCAGGATCCATCGAGAGAGCAGGACGAGTACTTCATTTACCCTCGGGTCAGTCCAAAGCTCACGACGTTGAGTCGTCGCTCGGGCAACAAAACAAATTCACGTTTAGTTCCAGAAAGTAATCCCCCTCTAATCATGGCTGTACAGCGTTTTTAAAAGAAATGGGGGAAACAGTCTCGTTATTTTCTGTGCGAGGTAACGGCTAATTTTTAACATACCAAAATTTAATGAGAAAAAGCATTCTCCGGCAAAAATGGTGAATATGAGCACGGCCTGCTTGTCGTCTGATGACCACCCTGATGCATATCATTTTAATCGCAAAACAGTCTAAGTGCAGTTCACGCTCCAAAACCAGAGAAAGCAGGTTTGAGAGCTGCTTAGTAAAATCTACAATATTGACACACAAACGAAATAAATAACGAGACGCAGCCGAGGAGACGAGAGGGGGATTTGAGGAAAGCCCAGCACGAAAAGAAACATCGACAAATTGCTGATAACTCACAACTTCATTTCGGTATGACCAGATGAAGGAGCGATCAAGATGAGAACAACAAATAACCATGAGATCATGTTCACATTCGAATACCAAGTCCCAGAAGTAACCGAAATCAACATTTCTTACAAGATCTTTAAAGATTCTTTTAAAAAATTCCTTATCGCCACAAAAGTGCCGCGTTTCGGATTCAAGGAGAGAGGTAAGACTGATTTTCACGGCCTATTAAGTTCGAAAATATCACCTGTCAGGCAGCAATAGATCGAAGAATAGTGTTTTGCAATTGACGCGAAAAGTGAGATTTCATCCGTTTGCTTCTGCAGATCATTCCAGAATTTCAGAGAAATTCCAGCTTTTTTGCTTGGAAAACTATCTTCCTAAATACTAGTGGAGAATTTTTTATTTATTAACTGGATTGAAACCTCCAGAATAACTTGGCACACAACTTTGTTTCTCGGATGTATTCCTCAAAGCCTTGTGAGTTCGAGATTGGAAGCCTTCGTATATATATTTTTTTGCTTTGGCCACTCTCACAGCTGCAAAAAAGCCTGAATTCTACATTCAGCTCAGAGGAGGGGCAGGGAAGCATTGAGTTCAATATCTCGGGGTGTAATATCTCGAGGAACCAGATACTGATTTTTTTTTTCTTATGACTTGCATATTAATGTATAAAAAAATCATTTTGAATATAAGCAAGTTTTTGAGATAGTTTGGATAGCATTGGAGCTTTTGTATTCAGATCATATCACAAATCATTTTCATAAATTAGAGGAAAATAATTTAAGCCTCTTACTTGAAGAATTGAAAATGGATGTTATATCAATAGAGTAATATCAAAGAGGGTAAGATCAAAAACAATGAAAATGCTCAGCAAATACAGTCACTGCATTTGCAAACTACTGAGATCATTAGAATGTTGAATGGCACAGTGAGTCTTCAAGAGGTATTTTTGGACAAAAGATTTAAAGCAGATGGGACACTGGAAAGGCTTTTCTTTGCTGTGCTTGAGACTGTGGTACCCCGCATTGCATCTGCGGGCAGTCGGATGGGGACAGACGGGACAGAAGTAGATCTTGGTCCCTGTCAGTAGCATCTTTCCACACCAAACATAGTTCTGTACATATGACACTGTCTGCAAACAAGAGGGAAACATAGGTGAGATTCAGGTAAACAAAACAAAACAGTCTCATCTGCCTAATCCAGATGAAACTAAACAAAGTATCCTTCTGGATACTGGAAGTCTTTTGTTGCCATGGACAACACAGAAAAGATGCCAAAATTGACATCTAGAAACCCAACACTGATAACGACACGAATGCAGACAACTGATAAACTGCCACTATTTGTGCAGCCCATCGAGGCCACTATACATGCAGCCCGTCGAGGTCACTGGCATGCAGGGCAGCACAGTGCATCTTTACACTGTGCTTGTGAGTGAAGGCCTTGAAGCAAACAGGACAGTGAAATGGCTTCTCTTTGCTGTGCTTGCGACTGTGGCTTTGCGCATTGAATCTCCGGGCGGTCGAATAGGGACATGCGGAACAGAAGTACAACTTGGTCCCTGTGGTTAGCATCTTCCCGCACCACAAGTAGCTCTGAACATAGGTCACTGTCTGGAAACATGAAAAGGAGATGAAATTTACACAGCTGCCCCATTTTCACCTTCCCACTTCAGATCCTGTGGATCCTGTGATCTTAAAAATGAATGCATAAAAGAAGGCCCAGGTTTTAATTTTTTGTAGAAAAATTGGGAACATGCACATAAGCTTAGCAGGCAGGAGTAACTTCAGCATTTCCTTCACTAACATATACTCTCTTTATGAGAACAAGTTAAATGTTTGGGACCTGAATTTCTGAGGAGGTTAATAGTGTTCTACATATGATTGGAACAGATATGGGCCTTGTGTCTCATGCATTCCATAATTCCATCCAAGGTTAATAAGTGGAAGCTTGCCATTAAATATAATTTTTGAGTGGACTGGTGAGGGGGTGTCAGAGGAAAGTGATATGGTGAGGGTTCTTACAAAATTTATTCCATAGTTGAACATTGCACTTGTGACGTTACACATGGATGTTCCATTTGTCACATGGAAAACCACCTCCCTACAGTAGGTGCAAGTAAAATTCAACAGATAAAATTCAAGATCAATGAATTCTTCAGAGATTTTTCAAGTTCTTCAAATGCCAATATACAAGCTAATAAACAAACCCAGCTAATGAAAACCAGGCACACAGATATTATCACAACACAGCACAGGATAGTTGAACACACACCATCACTGCATTTGCAGCTTCTCATGATGGAATGGGTGCTGAATACCACAATGAGTCTTCATGCTGGACATAGCAGTGAAGAACTTGAAGCAAACAGGACACTGAAACGGCTTCTCTTTGCTATGCTTGCGACTGTGGCTTTCTGCGTTGCATTTCCGGGTGGTCACATAAGGACATACGGGACAGAAGTACAATTTGGTCCCTGTAGTTTTCATCTTCCCACACCATATGAAGCTCTGAACATAGGTCACTGTCTGGAAACAATATGAAACAGAAATGAAATTTGCAAGGCCACTTCATTTTCATCCTCCCACTTTAAACCTGTGGATACTCTATTTTCAAGATAATAAACAACATTATGAAAATTAAAAAAGTAAAGGCTTGACAGGTCAATTTTCAATTCTCCTTAGAGGCATTTGGATGCAAGACTGGCAAGTAGGAATAGCATTCATTTTTTCTCTCTCTTGTTCAATTCCTTCATGCATCCATAACATTTTGAATGGATGAGTTACTCTACTTCCTTTCTTATTAGATTAGTGATGTTTGAAGGACTGTGCACAACTGGAATGTAACTTGTGCTTTGGGCCTTCTGTATTCTGCCAATCTACTAAGAATAATATGGATGAAACACCATCAGTTTGAATTTGTAGGAGAGAGGATGGCAATAAACACAGACACGCTCAGGGATTCAATCACAATTTATTGAAGATCGAATTTTAAAATCACAAAGAAGTATCTAGTCATGCATAAGTGGACAAATCTTCCTGCTACAGGTAAAACTTAACTGGTAACATTCACGATATGTCAAGTCTTCTTGTATTTCTTTTATCTTTCAAAATATTAAAACAAAACAGACACTAGGAAAAAGGAGAGATGGAACAAACAGTAATAAACAATATCTAAATACCAGCTCATGAAAATAAGGCAGGTACATAATAGCACAACAAAGCTGGAAGGAGAATGATATTTCACTGCATTTGCAACTTCTTTGGAACAATGGAATGCTGGACACCACAGTGATTCTTCATGCTGGACATAGCTGTGAAGGACTTGAAGCAAACAGGACATTGGAATGGCTTCTCTTTGCTGTGCTTGTGACTATGGTATCCTGCATGATTTTTGCGTGGAGTCAAGTATGGACAGACAGGACAGAAGTACATCTTGGTCCCTGTCATATGGTTCTTCCCACACCAAACGTAGCTCTGAACATGGAACACTGTCTGCAAATAATATGGGAAAGGGGGGGGGAGGGAAATTAATCCTGCTCTTAAATGCACAAGACAAGAGTCTTTTCCCTTCTTAGCCCTTTCCCTGGTATCAGCATAATATTATGTTGACATTCCCAAAACATTCAGATATCCCTGCCTGGGAAAAGATTAGTTTCAAGATCCTGGGATCTCATATTTAAAAAAATTTTCAGCTGAACATTTGCATATTGTATAACAAGATGAGAATGGTAAAGAGTACTGTCCAATTTCATTAATCAATTGAATAATTGATAAATTTTCTGATACTTTAAAATTTAATAGTAAATGCTTGAATATTAAGCAATCTGCACATCTTTGTTATGCAACCTTAATGCATATTTTCCTCTTCTAATTGCATAGCACAGTGTGCAGACTTGTTATAGAACTAAAAAAAAGTAATAGCAGTGAGTTTGAGTAGCTCTTCCCTCAGAAGAATGACTTCCATATTAATTGCCTCTTTTAATAGATACTCATATTTCTTTATCCAAAAGAGAACAGATCCTGTTAGGAGTCTGGAAGCATACAGATTACAATGTTCAAAAGTCTTTGCCAGAGATAAATATTTTTCTTCAACAATGATTTTGAGTATAATTAGATCAACAATGAAAACAAATTTACAGTTAAGTGTTGTTCTCTCAAATATAATACATATATTTTAGTTTTAGTTTTAGTTTAATTAAAAATTAAAAAGAAAATGTCTACATCAACATAATAATTACATGAAAAAACAAAATCTTGGTATAAATAGGAACACTTGAGAGAAGCCCTAGGGCTTCACCAGGGTTTTTCCTGAAGGCAAAAATACCTGGATATGAGTACCAGTTTTGCAAAGGCAAATATATTCCAAACAGTAAAGAAGACAGTATTTAATTCACTCCCCTGATATAGAGAGTAGAAAATAAATTAAAAAGGGAAAAGACAATTGCCTGTGCATGACCATTGTCATGAAAGACTTCAAAGCACTGGGACGCAAGTGAGAAGTGGCAACATGACAAGAGACAAGATCATAATTTAAAGAATCAGATGTAGTCAAATGATAGAGGTAATCCATAGAATAATTAGGAACTCTGAGGGAGGAAAGTCCTTGCACTCAAGTGAAAAGTGGAAAATGAATTAAACTTCAATCTAGTAAAAAGATAACAAATCCTCTTGCTGTATGTCATAGTTCCACACACTATATTTCAACTCCTCCAGCCTTCCAGATTACTGTGATGCTGAACACACTTGTCACTTGTCATTTCCAGTTTCCTTTCAGAGTGAAGCAGTCAGAGCATATGGAGTAATACAGGTGCTTTTCTTTGGTGCCCTTATGACTGTTTTCTATGCATGACCTTGGGTGGGGTTAAGTACAAGTAGCCAAAACAAAAGAACATCTTAGTACCTGCATTTTGAATCGTCCTAAACCAAACAAAGCTCTGAACATGGGCAGCTGCCTGCAGGTGTATTACCAAATGGGTAAGATTCCCTCTCATCTGACTATGACCATAATGAAGAATAAAACTTTTTTCTGTACTCTATAATGAAAAAAAATTCCATCAAAGTGACAAAAGTAATTTTTGAGAGAAGAAAGTGGAATAATCAGCTGTTCCAATGTCAGCAAAAAATGAAAGGCAATGAGAAAGAAAAAGAAAAATTTACATACAAGGAAATGCCACACAACAGAAAAAGTTCACTGTCGAACAATAAATACTCCTGAACAGGTTCAAAGGCCTCCATGTAACACAATAAGATGATTTCGAAGATACTGATTTCGAGTGAAGCACTTCCCGCATTCAGGGCACTGGAATGGCTTTTCTTTGGTGTGCTTGCGGCTGTGATAAACAATGCGCCGCTTTTCAATGCTGAAGTATGGACAGGTAGGGCAGAAGTAGAGTGTCTGATTTGTGACTTTCATCTTTCCACGCCACACAAAGCTCTCAACATACTCCACTGTCTGAAACCAAGCAAATCAAATGTTCTCTCAGGTGCAGATACTATCATATTAGAGAACATTATGTGACTGCTGGTGGGTTGTAGATTTTTTCATCACTTCTACAGGCCAATCTGATATCAAAGATATGTAATCCTTTTCCTTTTATCTATTGAATTGAATAGCAATAACCAGAAGAGAGCCACTTGTGTATAGGAGGGGTCAATAGACACCAGGTGATGTCAACATTAACCCATTGAGTGGTATGGCCATACCAGTACAACCGTGTGCTCCCAGTCCCACAGGAGTGTGGCAGTACCAGTACATCCTGCATCTTCAAATTCAAACTGCCACATTTGTACAGATGCTGTCAGTTTGAGGTAAAAACTGTTTATGTCCATAAAAGTAAAAAATTCTGAGCTGGAGCTCATCCATAAAAAAAACTCACCCCTGGGGGCATGGCCAGTCAGAAAAAAACACACTGCTTAATGGGTTAAAAGGATGTAAAGTCTTTAATTGTTGCCAGATGAAATACCATTTTTTCATAAATCCAAAATTTCTCTGGCCCAGTTTTTTCACTCTGTAGCAAGCATCCCAATATGTCTTTTTTCTAAGCTGATGAGAATGGACAGGAATGCAAAAACAATGAGTACTTCCATCTTTAGTGATATCCCTCCAAAAAGATTAAAATTCAAAATAATTCAGCAATCACTCAGATGCATCTGTTAATGCATCTTCACATGAGCACAATATTTTATATGCAATACACATTAGCAGGAACCATGTTGATATTCAATAATAAAAGAGGGAAACCAAAATTAGCCAGTAAAACAAACTTTATAACAGATTGAGATTTTGACAAGAAAGCAGTTAGGAATTGCATTCCAAAATATCTCAGGCATGCTCATGTGTTTTTCTGAGATACCAGTAGTCCATTGGAAACAGTCACTGTATGTAATGTAAGCAAATTTGTATATATCAACATCCTGAACATGACATTTGAATGCAGAACCAAAAATGCCAGTTTTAGGTCAACCAAAACAGTGTCACTGCCAGCACCAGCCAAGTACTTAGAATACTGGAAGCTTCAACAGTAATACACTTCTGCATCTTTCCATGCCTCTTCATGCAAGAAACCCTAATCCATCATTTATTAGTGTCCTCAAAACACAGCAAACACTGCCTAACATAAGCATGGCTGTACTGATGTTTGTTGTACATATCTGATGCAAAGAAGTGCAAACCTTGAAAGATTCACAAAAGTAGGCCAATCCTAGATAAGTTTGAAATATTCAGGTGGCCAAAAATGGCTAGTGAAAGTTGGATGAAAATGGGTTAAGATATGGTTTTGCATCCATTCATTTTCAACTTGTTGAAAAGGTTGGAACTTCTTGATATTAACACAATATTAATGAATTACTAATTAAACATCTGTTTAAAAAAAACCAAGTGATATATCCATTGATAGAAAAACGGCTGAAAAATCAGGGGTCTGTCATTCCCAGATTCGATCAAAATGAATAATTCCACAACGAGTAACAGGTAGTGACATAATGGGCATTACTTTTAAGATCTATTTCTGATGAAAATCAGAGATGCAGCATCGAGAAAGAAAACTGAGGGATTCTTGCACCAAAAGGGTAGAATGAGCTCACAAAATACTCTCCTAATGACCTTAAACCTCTGCTTGTAAAGCTGGGATTCAAACATACCCTCAAGTGTTCTAAAGTTTTTGATACTATGAGATATCAATATTTGCAATACATAGATATGCAGGTATTAAGCTTGAAAAGTAGATGCTTAAATGCTTCTGAGTCTTGAAAGGAATATAATCCTGTGAGGCATTTCAGAAGAAATAAGAATGCCCAGTTGATGCATAGCAAAAAACAACCCAAAACTTTGAACCAAACTCTCTTCTCTTAGTAGATATACAGGTAGCTGTTTATTCTTTATTACTTAGTATTACTTTTCCAGTATGTCTGTAACAGCCATTTTTTGTTGCTCAAAGTGTCAGGTTCCCTGCCATTATCCTCTATCTGTAAATATAAAAATAAAATAAAATTACTACTGTATACTTACTTTTGCCCCACCCTGTAGATGTATGAAAAATTCAGAGTGCAGGCTGATATGTTTGCACAAGAGTTATGATTACATACATATTTGATTTTGAGCAATTGCTTAAAAGATCAGAATCAGAAACTGAAAATGGACAACAAGTATATGTCAATTCAGTTCTGTCCTAGGGTCTGTTCCCTGTCTTTGCTAAACTTAATCCAATTTAAAAGCAGTCTAAAAGTAAAAAGCCTCTTTATTGCAGAGACTCTTGCTAAAACTTCATCTAAAAAAAGGGAGAAGATTTACTTAAAGGTTTGATCTGATCTAAATGTTGGGATAATGGGAGAGACCTCTCATTCTTTGTTCAATGCCATATGGGAGTCCATTGCACACAAAAGTAATAAATATTAATATCCTATGAGCTGCAATGTATCAAATTCACTTCTCAAGAAGTCTCAAGATGGGGTGAGAAAATGAAAGATATTCAATCACCCACCAAATTATAATGAACTTGTCACCAAATATTTTCAGCCTGCAAAAATATTGATTCCATCACCAGATCACAGTGAATCTTTGCCAAATTGGAGTCAGTCGTCAAATTCTTATAATTGATTTCACCAAATATGACTGCATCATCACAGGTGCTGATATTACCAAATTTGCATTATCCAGCACAAAAAAATTGCTTTCATCAAACTTATGACATTTTCAGCATTTGCAACCCTATCAAGGAAAGGATTTTTCTTTGTTTCCAGTTAGACCTGTGATGGCAAGATGAGATTGTAAGATCATATCATGCTTTGGGGGACCTTCAGGGGAGGACCTGTGTAACTAGTCTCCTTGTGCTTGTGTACATGTATGGGAGTTGTATATGACTGACACTGACTTCCAGTTTCTGTGTGCTATATGAATTAGAGGTGCTATGGCATCTAGAGAGTTTTAGGACATTGAAACAAGGAGACACCTTCATTGCCTGCAGTGACGGCAACCCCACGAAGGAAGAGGTTCGGAAAAGTGCACAGAAAACAGAAAACTTAATAGTTCTAATCAGAAAACTGGAGCATTAGCAGAACTTACATTAGCAGAGAACAAGACTCTTCCTCTGAGTTGTGAGAGCTTCAAATTTTGAATGCACACGCCCTGTTTGGATCAAGACTGGCAAACATTCACTCTGAATGCTAATTCACAGCAGGGATATTCAGTGTGTTCTGCCCTGCAGGCCCACTAAAAGAAAAATTTATTTCTTTTGACACATGAAATGTGACTTTGGTGCTAACTCAATAAAATTTGGTGGTAATTTCATGGCTTCTGGTGATGAAATCATTTGGTGATGTATATTCATTAAGTGGCAAAATAATAGAATCTGGTAATTAATCATAACTACTTTGTGACAGAATCAATATTATTTGATGAATTACATACTAACCGTGAGAAACCCCTGAGGCTCCCCTCCCCCATTTCAGTTGCACCACAGTTCATGGATGTTCCATCCTCTCGTTCTGGTGGGTAATTCCAGTTTTGTCATGATGCAGACCTAAGTTGATCTGGACCCCAGTCTATTAACTACCCCTAACCTCTGCATTCAAGATGGACAGCTTTTTCTTTGACTCGTGATACAAGATGAAGAACTGTCCAACTTTTGACTTCAAAACACATTTACATCAGGAACACACTTAGAGTTATGGTGTTGAAGGCAGGTAGGGCTAAGGAACTCAACAATGATATTACTCCTTTGTCTGATAGGGTGTGTAAGAATCCCTACAACTATGTCAATTGCACACTTCAATCTTAAAGATGTTTTAAAGGTTCTTACGACAGAGAAGTGATTGGATATAGGCCTACAACTATGCTGATGCTAAGATATGAAGTGAATAACCATGAATGACTCCCCTGAATGTGTGTTTTTGAGCAAATTTTCATTCATCTTCATGCATTGTAATAAACTATGAATGACATCATGCATGTGCAAAGGAAGCCTTACATTTCTAACCTGAAGGTCCTGGAAAACTCCAGGGAAAAATAGTCAGCCCTTGGCTTTGATGGCCTCATGTTACCAAAGAGAAAAACCAATTCAATCAATCTTACATCATATCCAAGGGCCATGCCAAGAGAATAACCATCAATACCTTAAAATTCCTTAAGCTAAAACTCAGACAACTCTTCTTAGAATTGTGCATCAACATGGTCTGATGGGATTTCTAAAACATCCAAAGGATATCCACTCAAATAAGCTGAAATGTATAAATTTGATTGCTTATTTGAATGACTCCTTGATGAAGTAAGAGATAAATATCATAAAACAAATTTCAGACAAGGTGAGGATATTTGGGCACTTTTTTTTAGGAAGAAAATGTTCTCACATTATCCTGACATGATACAGGGCCAGTGTTTGGTGAAGGTACCAATAAACAGATTGGTAGGAGGTGATTTCACATTAAAAGTACCCTGAAAGTATAGCATAGAAGAGGTTCACTGACCTGTGGGTCAACTTCTGAAGGAATATTGAGTGGTGCTTCTGGCTCACCTTCTACCCCTTCAGGAGCATATAAGCTCGCATGATCCAATTCTTCCTGTTCCTATGACACAGAAAACAAGCATCCTATCCGTTTCAGAGAAATACTTCAAAAGATATGGTTCACAAAATAAGCTGTAACATGTTTCATGTTGCAAAGCATATGACAGATTTGGCACTATGGTGCTAGGACTTACAGCAGCAGCTGAAGTTGAATTCATCACATCTGGAATATCAATTACTTCATCCTCTTCTTCTTCCTCATCCTTTATCAACACCTCCTCAGCTGATGCACTCCTGGTTGGCTCAGATGGACTTTTGTGAGCTTCAGAAGTAGAAGGTAACTGCAGAGGTAAAATTGTTTTCAATCAGTGAGATTGACAAAGGGTCTTTGACCATTAGGAGCTCTCAGAACATCTCATGTATACTCCATGAACTGGTCCCAATAATGCAATTTCACTTCCCAAACATTACATTCTAAAGATGACCAGTTGATACTGAGACTGGAAGGTTTGTCAGATAAATTCAACATGTATTATATGAGAATGGGAACAGAAGAGTGGATGGTGCATGACATGTTGGCATTGAACACTATTTAAAAATTACTATATTCCCCACTGAGATCAAAGCTGAAGCACAAGGACCATGGCCTTAGACCATGTCTTTGTTACATTCAATTCACTTGCACATGGGTAGGTCAAAACTTAACTTTAAGTGCCATGGGACCTATAAATAGTTGATCAGGCCTATGAATCAGCTGCATGGCCCTAAAAGGGTCAATACACTGAGCATTTAAATTCCTCTCTAAAGATGGCTCCAACCTTTCTCTATTCAGATATTATTTGATATTATCAGATATTTCTCTATTCTCTATCAGTGGTTCTGGCACAGAGCATTCACAACCAAGAAAACAGCAGTAACATTTAAGAAAGAACAAGCTCATCACAAATTCAATATATAATGGGAGCATTCTCTCAAACTACTTCCATAGAGAATGAAAGAATCTTAATCTTTTTCTAGTAACTCACATTGAATCTCACAAAAGCAGAACCTGGTCTTAATCAAACTTTACAACCATTTTCAGGGATATGAATACTACGTGCAAGAGTCACTCACCTGAAACCAAAAAAGGCAAGAATAGTTAGCCAACATTAATTGAGTAATGTGTCACAGATGTTATTGAAAAGCTCAACATGTTTTAGTTCCTATGATATGCAAGGAAATTGCAGGGATGTGGTCTCAGAACATATTGATCAGGCCTCAAATGCTATAAATGCAGTGGAGCTACATAATCCAATCATTCTGTTAGGAACATCAGCTGAGCTTTAAGTATGCCTGTAGACATAGCTATACACTATGCTACATTTTCCATGTATATATATGTATATATATTTTACAAATATACTACTGATGATCTTTAGTAGCCAAGAAGCTTAGACATACCAGTGCAGTCTTTGATTGCTGAGAGTGTGGCCTGACAAGATGTTGCCTGCCTTGTGTAACAGGTGCTTGAGATCGTGGTACTTTTGTAGGTGGGAACTGGGATTCACCAAACTCTTGCCAAGAGTGTACATTGCTTTTCCTCTTGTGAGCCAAAGCATCATGAACATCAGACACAGGGATGGTGGTTCCGCCAACAGCATTGTGCGATCCACTGCTCTTTGACTTGTCTCCCTTAAGTCCCTTCACTTCCAGGTTCTCAGCAACTTCAATGAACTTCTCAAGATCCATTTCTGGAACTTCAACTTCTCCACAATACATGAATTCCACCAAAAACTTTAGCAAATGGATTTCTATGCCATAGAAGTGAATGGTAGGTATCCCTGTTCCATCCTTGTTAAGGATTCGTTCAAAGTAACCGCTTCCTGCACACAACACCAGCTTATGGGCCTTCAAGAACTGCCCATTGCACGACAGGGTCACATCCACAAACATCTCCCTATGACGGAGAGTTTCAAAGCTAGCAAATGTTTCTCCATGATGTGTGTTCCACTTCAAATTGTATTTGTTAGACATGATGTGTCTCTTTCTATTTGAACCTGTAAGAAAATAGAATCAGAGCATCATGTAGGATATCTATCTCTAGTCCTTGGGCATGAAGACATCTAAACTGGTCACTGTTAAATATGTACCCTTAGAGATATTGTGTTGCTCCTTAAGCTAGGCCAGGTTAGGTTAGGGTGGAGTGGTGCTTATTAGATATAAAAGGAATCCCAATCCATGTAGCATGTTTCCAGTTGAATCCATCTGGAAACATTGGAGATTGAGGGAGTGCAATTTCATTAAGGGGTACATGCTTAACCTTACCAACCTAACTTAAGAAGGGCCTTTGTCAATGGTAGGAATCACCAGACCCTCCTTTGGGATTGCTGGGAATGTGAAACTCAGAAGGCATGTAATTGGATTCATATTCTAGCATGCTACTTGGAGACTCAGACCCTTTCTTTGAAGGTAAGGAAGTTAGGCAAAGACATAACATTACTTCTTGAGCAAAACTGAGTTTATTTGAAACCCTACACTGTTGAAATGACCAGACTTGAGGACATCTTTTCCTTATAGGTACTCTGCAAAGAAACATGCAATGAGATGCAAAACATTTATCCTGTTGGTTCAAGTTTTGGGTTGGGATGTCAAGAGCAATTTTTGCCCATAATGACATCCCAATTTACCTCCTATGTCAAGATTAAGCACTAGGTCAACTTGTTCAGAGACAGGTAATTTGATTAGAGCACTGATCTTAGTAGCATATTGACTTATAATTTACTGCTACATTGCTTCCTTTCTTTGTCCTTGAGGGCATCTAACCTCTTCTTGAAGTTATTCTGGAAAAGCTTGCCTTTAAAAAACTCTGAACTTAAATGGCATATAATAATGATACCAATGGTGTTTTAGCTAACTTATCTTCATTGGAATTGGAAAGGATGGCCAATTCTATTTTGAAATACGTATTTGATGCCAAAATGTTCTTCAAATGCGGTTTTTGACGAGTACACGATTTTCCCACTTGCAGCCTCTTTGATTCAAGTAACCACTTTCTATTTGAATCTCCTAAGTTCGTGAACTTGAATTCCGGTGTCAATAAAGGCTATCATTGAACATTTCCATTTATTCAGAAACGCTGTCAGCCGCGGAACGCTTCACACACCACGCACGTCACCTTGGGAATGACAAGAAACCACCACTCAGGGCTTCCCATCGACAACCCAGCCCCGATCTACACCCCATCCGCTTCCCACGTGCGGGCGTCGCCATCCTGCCGCGCCTGAGAGATTTGCCTCCCCGCCCAACCCCACTACACATCGAACGGAGTATTCCCGCAATCGCCTTGCTCGGTGGCTGAACTCGCCCCACTCGAGGGACAGCATCCTCTGTCAACGGTCGTCTCCAGCTCCTTTTAGCACATCGCTCGAGCAAGGTTGGAAAGCAAGGCCACTCTGGAAAGTGACCTTAGAATCCGACTACTGAGGAGTTACATCTGACGTCTCAGTAGCATGGAAACCGATGGAAACGCAAAAAAGTTTTAAACTAGCCACTCTCAATCCTCTGCTGTATCTAGTATGAGATTTTTAATCGTTATCGTTGAGAGGCAAAAGAGGATTTTCGCATTACTTCCTCCATAGTTCCATATTTCCTTCATCAATGGCTCGTGAGAAGAGACGGTTGACTCTGAAACGTATCCTCACGAATCACATTTGATCGACGAAAATTAAATTAAGGAAAAAGCGAAATTGTATCAAGCATTTTCTATGAGCATAAATGCAAAGATTGTAATCCTTGCGTCATTTCTAGAACTGCAGACTCTCGAAACCTCATTTCAGACTCTTGTATAATCAATTCTTTTAAATGTTGTTTTCTCTGTAAACATGAGAAAATTACGTAAATCCACGAGGGTTATCGTCTGAAAGTAACGGCAAAGAAATAAGTCCAGACTGGCAAAGGAGTTTAATTTCACATTCATTCATACGATGATCGAAGCTTCCTAAAAAGCTTCCGAAAGAAACTTCTGCTTGGAACTCGTGATTGAGAGAAAAAATTAACCAGAAATAATTAAAGAGAAAAATATTTAAATATTTAAAGTGCCTCATCGAGCCGGCGAAAGTTTAATAATATAATAACACCGTCCAAAAATATTAATTAATTAATTAAATTTACGATGAGTCGTCGCAGCAGACGGTCGGTACCAAATCTTCGCTTTCTTTTTTCATATTTGTTGGTATTCTTAACGGAAGGGAGATGAAGTCGATCGACCGTCGAGGAATCATTTTGAACAGCCAAAACTCAACAGCGAACACCCGATTGTTAGAGCAGCTCGGCTACGCAATTCAGGTCTGGTACGGGAGAGAGCAACTTCCACAGGCATGAACGAACGACGACCAACCTGATGATATATTCAGCTCGGTCATGCACAGCCGTGGTGCTATCTTGTGAACTTGCTAATCACTAGCCATCCAATCACGATGCATTTTCCTCCAGATCTAAGGCATCGTAATCGGCTTGCATATGGAACTCCAAGGGTTTCGGCTGAACTCGGGGAACGGTAAGGGCGACACCTCCCAGTTCGTTGTACCTTACGGAGAGATAGGCCTACTGAAGACGCGCCATCTATCGCAGGCTAATATGCGTTATAATTCGTGAAGCTCGATTCCGGATCTCGGAAATAGTGTAACTTCCCAATTTACAGCATATGGTTTCATGCTAATTCGCTTCTCGGGCTAAAAGGCAGATTTTTGACACTGGGATTAGATGAGAGTGTGATTAGATTAGAAGCTAGTTTCAGCAAAACAGTGATTCATCCGTCATCCAAATGAAGACTGACAAACGAATCACAAGACGTTGGTCACGTGACTATCAAGTCGCTCCTGATTGGTGGATCTTAGCGTCGCGATCGCGTTTCCTGGAGAACGGCTGGAAGGGTCCCTACACGTCTTAGAAGCCTTCCTCAGGCGTTTTAAAACTGCCTGTGACGTCATAAATGACGTAATGTGTTCTACATCCTCAGCACGAGGCTGTTACCTCTGACCTTTTTCACCCTGAATGCCAGTCGACTCTTCACCTCGTAATGGTGAGGCCGTAAAGAAGTTAGTGGTAAGAAAATACAAGTGAAAAGTGAAGTATTTTCCGGAATTTCTGTTGGCTAAAAATGGGAGCTATGCATATGTGAAATTGTGGAAGTATTGTGGATTGATGCTGTGATCCAAAAGGGCTCACAGAAACAGAGCAAAACCTTCAAAACGTGAAGCTTCAGATCGGGAAGTTGAGCTGTGCAAACATTTGTACTTGGGAAGCTCATGCCCTTTGTCCTTTTCTTCTGCGGGATCAAGAGATGAAAGGGGAGCACAAAAACAAAAGACAACAGAGCCATGGCATGCAGAGAATGGGGAACGGGGTTCCAAAAGAAATAGACCAGCAGGAATGGAGTACATGCTAGAAGAGCAGAAAGACGACAAAGCACGAGGTAGGAAGGGAAAGAGAAGCAACAGGATCAAGAGCTTCATTTGGAAGAAAGGAACGGAGGGGAAGCGGCAGAAAAAGATGTAGAAAGAGAAGTTCTGGAAGAGGCACTGCAACAAAGGAAGCACAGAGTTGTAAAATTCAATGAACTTTCATATTCATTCAATAGAAAGTCCTGGAGACTTTCCTGAATACTGCCTTTATTCTGGATGAGCCAATTCATAATTTAAAAAATCACAAATGCAATCACAGTTCTGATGGAATCACTCAAATAACTGCATATGAGCTAATGAGATCAATCATCCTGCATAATAATGTAGAAAGAGTAATAAAATATATCTGAATATCACTGAGGATGAAGGAGAAAGGACATTCCACAGCATACATTTCAGTGCATGGTCCTGTGTTCCTAACAATGCTAGTGAGGTTTAATCAATCTCATAACTAGCCCATATTTCTTTGATCCACCATATCCTTGACATGAGTAAGCCAAGGCCAGCAAAATAAAATCAAGACACGAAGATCTTAACAATGCGTTCAATGGGTTCACGGCAAATAGGGCAAGAGGAAAGGCGCTGACCACATTCCAAGCATGTGACAACATGGGCACAGCTAAGGATCACACAATTCCGGGGAGCAGTCAAGCAGATTGTGCAAGGACGGTCAGAGGCTGTGCCTCCTGCAGGAGTTCCAGCTCCTTCTTTCTCAGCTGTCAAAAAAGGTGATTCCAATTCAAGAAAAAAGGATTACATCTATTGTCACATGTAACAAGTATTACTTCAAATGACATTTTCAAGTAGCCTGACCTTTTCTTTTGATGAATGAGAGCCTAGAATTCTGTAGCAATCTGTGCATATATGTAAGCAAAGGCTCACTTAACCCTTTCAGGACCAAGGGACCTATTTGTCCCATATTTTCAAAATCCTCCCAAATTTGAATGAATTAGTCTAGGGCGATGCTTTTTGCGAATAAGGAATCAGTATGTCATGGACTTGAAGTACCTGCCCCGCACTACTGATTGCTACACCGTGGTTCGTCAAAATTTACTCCAAAGGCTAGGCAGGACTCCACAAGCGCGATAGGAGCTACCATCGGTACAATTCCTGTGCAGTTCTCTATACCAAATGTAACCCAAAGAAAATCGTTAAGAGTTTTAGATTTTCAACTACTCCGTGGGTATATGTGGTGCCTTGGAGGGTCGAACCTTTTGATGATCCCACACAAGGTCCCGAATTATTCGTAGGTTAACACATTGCCTACCATTTAACCCTTTCAGGACCAAGGGACCTATTTGTCCCGTATTTTCAAAATCCCCCCAAATTTGAATGAATTAGTCTAGGGCGATGCTTTTTGCGAATAAGGAATCAGTATGTCATGGACTTTCAAAATTATGGCAGGTTTTGTGAATATATGAATTTGTGTCGTCACCAGACAAAGCAAATTGCGAATAAGGAATCAGTATGTCATGGACTTTCAAAATTATGGCAGGTTTTGTGAATATATGAATTTGTGTCATCACCAGACAAAGCAAAATTATCTTTTCCAAATGGGTCCAGAAATGTGAATTTTGATTTTTTTGTTTTGAAAAACTGATGCAGCCGAAAAAAAATTGTCTGTGGGTTTGCCTTCGTATGTCCTTACTGTAACATATTTTCTCATTTCGACACTCATTTGTTTATTATTTTTAGAAAAAAAGTATTTTTTTTTTGTCCCACGCTATATCTCGAGAACTATGAGAGATATAGCCTCCAAACAAAGTTTTTTGGAATCTACACGTCATTTTCACCCTAAACACGTCATTAAAGTTAAGGTCGCTGTCCCACAATGCTTATGGTCTTGAAAGGGTTAAATGCATGGGAGGGGAACAAGGCATAATATGAAGCAATATGGTCAAGAGTTTGGGCAAAGAAATGTACTGGTACAGTTTAGCAGATCCCATTGATGGCTCAGGATGCAATGGAATGTATTTACTGTTTCTTTTGTTTAGGCTCCTACTGGATGGGTAGTCTAAATATCTCACCAAGCAGATTTTAAAAATTAATGCCACCCTTTTGAATTATGATACAAGGTGCTATGGCAAAAGTAAAAGCCTGTGAAAACAGTAAATGCTCTGTTGAAAGTGCCACAAGCTTTTGGTTAACCTAATAGCTGTCTAGAAGAAGAAGGAATCTACATTTCCATTGATGATGGCTAGCTTTCACTCACTCTGTAGGGAGTCCAAGGTTGAGCAGAGACCATCTATCAAGTTATTCACCTCAGTCAGTTGTCCATCATCAGCATGACAACCATGCTTTGTGGCCTCTACACCTGCTTGGTTGCAGTCACCAACAGCAATAGCCTTCACACACTGTTCCTGTACCATAATCATTTGAATTACTAGGGCATGTTTGGTCCCCAAGCAGTTATCCTTCAATTGCAATCATAGGATGCCATCACATTTCACTGGGTTTTATATACCAGCAGCAGCAGTCAATATTTGCAGGCAACCAGTATCCTTAAAGGTAATTTCAAACTATACCAGTATCCTTAAAGGTAAGTTCAAACTATACCAGTATCCTTAAAGGTAAGTTCAAACTATACCAGTATCCTTAAAGGTAAGTTCAAACTATACCAGTATCCTTAAAGGTAAGTTCAAACTATCTTTAAAAACAATATAGGACTGAGGATCTTCCATAAGTTAGTATATCACTTTTTGTCATCATAATAAAAAAATTAGTTTTTCTTTTTTTCAAACCAGGCTAAGCTGTTTCACAAAACCTTTTTCCATGTGGTAACAAAAAATACCATATATAGGTACCAGAAAACAGAATTTTCATACCAGATACTGAAATATATCAATACCATTTCATTTTTAGCTGTGAAAGGAGGGGCAGCCTTGCCTCATGCTCATCAAGGATGGACATTGGAAATTCCTCCCCACAGAAGTTGCAGGTAACCAAGTCAAATATTTCTTCTGAATCATGGGAAGGTAATATCTCATCTTCATTTTCTTCATAAGGCACTTCATCACCAATTTGAATGTCTTTAAATAAGTCCTATAGAATGGAACAATAAATTAATATTACATGTGCACATAAATGGTGACTCATTTGTAAAGTTGACATATGAATGGCAATTTCCTGCAAAAACTAACAGATGGAATAAATTTTGATTTGGGTGAAGAGCTGCAGGGTAAAAGTGCTATTCATACCCAGAGACAAAAGTAGCAAGAAGTGATGGGACCAAAACTGCCTTTCATCCACTTCACACGAACAAGCAACATTATAATAGGATGGTAGATGCACACAATACAACAGGAGTGCCATTGGTGCAAACACTCCAGACTAGGATCAAGCTCATTGAGTAATATTGTGAGAATGGCAGGAATTCAAAGGAATTACACGCACGTTGTCAAGCAGCCATCATACAGTGAAGCTTGCACTCCAGTGAAGCTCTGTGGTGCCTGAGGCAGATATTCAGGCAGACCTGCTCTGAGACCAACATCCCAGATCAGGGTTGGCTGTACTGGAGGAAAAGGAGGTAGACATGCCCTCACTCTTCACTGTATCTTTTATTGGGTACAAGTAGCACCAGTACCTAGTACTCCATCCCCTAAGTTTATGTTCATTCCACCCAATATCAAATTTACACACCTTGCATCCTTATCTTAGCACTGATCCAATGAGAAAAAAAAAAAACTTGCCAATCACCCACATATGTTAAAAGTGGTATTCCACTGTTCAGGAGGAATTCAGGCTAAACCAGGCAAACTAGAAATACATGAATGTCTATGCAGTTGTTGGAATCACCCTGCTGGCAGGGTGCTCTCCAAGAAACTTTGGCTAATGGAAAACCACCTTTATGCTTAAAGATCAAGCCAGTGATCCAATCAGGTTGCACTCTGCACTCAATTGCAATGCACCATATTAATCCTAGCAGTAAGTAGGCAGGAGTGCAGCATCACCACATCACCATACAAGAACTTTATGGTTAAATTTGGAGATACCTTACACTATGGTTTATATTGCAGAATTTTGAGGAAAAGGTGCAGGTCTTACATAAGTAAATAGTCATTTTCACAGGAGACTAGGATTCATTTGTAAACTTTACCCATGTGTCATCATGAGCAGCATGGAAAGATCTGATGAAATTGAAATGTAAAGAATGATTGCAACAGTAACAATAATTGACGAACTTTCAGGAAGGGGTTTGAATGACAAGAACATATCAGACCTCCTCTGAACAGCAAGGCCAGAAATTGTCCAATTCTTCTGGTACACTACCTGGATTGTCACAGCAGGCAGCCTGCAAGGAACAAAGGGATAAGCAAAAAAAGACAGCCATGAGATATAATTTAAAAAAAGAATAAGACTCACTTCATGCTCAGCTACCTCTTCCAGTGGAAACACCTTACAACAAAACTCACATGGAATAACTACTCCATGCTCCATCTTTCTGTTCAGATGATTATAGCAGTCCCAATTAAACTCAATAATGTCAACTCCACATGGACCTATAAAAAATTTCCAGGACCAGACAGATTCCCACCCTTGTAATCCTCCTAATTTGCATGTGTAGGAGCTGCACTAGCAATTTCATGAAGAGCAAGAATCCAATGAAGATGACTAATACAATGGATGGCCATTGAAAAGTCATAATGAGGAAACTTAGCAGGCCTTTTCTGAGCTTGTATGCAGTGACTGTCAGCAATTAATCAGTACCATGGAATTTTTAACCAAGGGGTGACTGCTCTGACATTCTCTGTGCTCACCAGACTACTTCTCTTGTGACTTCATGCTGTTTCTCAGAATGAAGTTTATTTTGAAAGGCTACTATTTCAATGGCACAGAGGATCCCAAGTAAGCTGTAACCAATGTGTTGAAGGAGGTTCCAAGAAGGAGTTACAGCCAGTGATTCAAGCTCTTTATAAATGTTGGGAGAAGTATAACACAAGTCAAGGGAACTATTTCAATGGAGATCATACTGAAAACCCAACTTCTGCACATAGTTTGCTTGTTTGAAGGCCAGTCCTGGAACTTTTTGATGGGTCCAGACTGAAACATTGAAAATACACTGATGGCTTGCATTCCCTCAATGGAAACATCTAACCAGGACATGGGCTGGCCCACAACTATGCCATAGGCAAGTTGGCTCATCTGAAATATTGACAATTATTCTGAAAGAGTCATAAGGTAGATTCTGACCTATAAAGGTCTAGGTGCCCCAGGGGGGACAGTTTAAAAAAATCACATCACAGAGATGCCACACAACTTGTACTCCTGCTTAAAAGTTGTGGAATTTATGAACATTGCAAACTCACATTTAATTGAGGCTTACATCTGAAATCATAAAATAGCATTTGAAACACAGACATAGAGCTATAGATTATTTTTCATTTTTAAAAATGATAACCAAATAGGTTTAAGAAGGCAAAACTACTTGAAATAAAAGTAGGAAACAGTGAATTCAAAATCTCTTCAAAACAATAACAATTATTCCTCAGAAACAGAATATGCCTATACAGGCAACCATCCCTGAGGTACCCAGAAGAAACTCATGACTTTCTAGTTCTTGCAAGGGTAGAATCCACCCATAAACTTTTCTTGCAGGAAGGTCTGTGCAATCGATAAATGATAACTCTATGGTTTCAAAAAAAATTTAAAGTCCTAATTCCCTGAGCATCAGAGCTCATGGAAATCCATGGATGAATCTTGTCCATGTGCATTCCTCGAGGTGGAGCCATTCTCAAGGGACGATGCTGATTCCTCATTCAGGTCTGAAAGTGAAAAAAGGAGTTTCCAATCTGGTTTGCAAAGGAAATCCTGATGAACAGAGCATGAAGAAAGAGTCCCTCTAAAAAGTCACAAAAGGCATTGCATTGACTTCCATAATACATAAGAATGATGATCCAGGAGAATGCCAAGAGAAATAGTACTTTCCCAAGCAAAGAAATAAAATTGAAAAAAAATGTATGCATCACCTCAAAAAGGATGAATTTATTGAACCACAGTATCTACGTCCACAAGGAACGATTTCCTGGAGCTTCATATACGACTAGCACAAAAAGATTCCTTCCTCTAGCTGAGCAATTAGGTATGAGGTATGAGGACATTTTAGGATTACTGCTATGGTCTATAAATACTTCAGCTGCTGAGTGCAATAAGATGGGCAATACATCGATATTATGTCACACTTCAACCACAGAAAACAAGGAATGGGGATGTGAGAGTGCTTGTACTTTGCGAATGCAGACCCTCAGAATAAGGAAATGATGAGAGTGTATGATGACCAGGGCAAATTCAAAGCAATTGAGATCAAAAAAGAACCCATAAGAACCATCACGCAGTCACGTGAAGATACCACTCGGAAACAGAAACATAGGTAGCAACAAGAACTCCAACAGCACTTGCTGCATATATGTTCTTCTGGAAGATGATAAAAGTTGCAATGCACAGCCCAGCATATGTGACATACCGGGAGGAATTCATGGCTTGCTCCCTCTTGGATGGAGATGAATCTATATAAGAGGGTAGATATAAGAGGCCTCAGTAAGGCATTTCAAGCAGTGCAAGTCTTTTCTGAAAATGAAACCACTCAGACCTGCCTACACAGCAAAATGGTCAAGTTCATTAAATATTCATAAGTATGAGCATGAAGAAAAACCAAGGCCTACCAAACATGTACAGCAGGCCAATCCCAAACCAAGATGAACACACTAACACACCATGCAAGTGTTCTCTGCAGTAACACACATACCACCAATGATGTACCCAAAGAACAGCAGAGAAGAAAATATAACAAATAAAAGCACATACATATTGACAGACATGCTCACTGTATTATTGCTTATTCATTTTGCTACTGCATGGGATCTGTACAAAGTACAAGCACTAATAACAGAAAAATTAAACTGTAAAAGCACATACAGATTTAAACATACATTTACATATATTTTTACTGTTACCAGGACTAAAAATGTTGCACTGCACTCATGTCAGCAGTCTCTATCACAATAGCCCTAATTTAAGCATAAGCCTACTACTTAAACAATTCATATGATCAAGATTCAGGTCACTCATTGCCAAGAATGACAAAGATTCTTGTCATGCAAGTAATGGAGGGCCTTCAGATTTCTACAGGCATTAAGTCAAATTCAAGGATACAGTGAGAAAAAGATTGACTCACCAATGCAAATGCCCTCAGCATTTCGATGATAACCATCAGCACATTCCACACAGGTGTCTGGACCATCACCGAGGCAACCTTTGCAGGACTTATCACAAGCTACAAAGACCACAAGGACCAAAAGCACCCCTTCAGCCAACTATAGAAACAAGAGAAGCAGCAGACAAGAAACAATAAGATGGAACTTACAAATACAGGAAAAGGATCCTTCATTGTTAACACAGAAGTGGTTCTCATCACAGGGTTTGGTTTCACTTTCAATGCACTCATCAACATCGACGCATTTCTCATTGTACATGACCCAACCTGGATGGCATTCTTTGCAGCCTTGGGGACCTGGTCCTGTGCATGGTCCCTTGCATGCAGCATGACATGGGGAACATAACAGTTTGCTGTTGTCCTTATAAGATTCATAGTGTGTATTGGTATCACACTCGGTGCAGAAGTCTCCTTTATAGCCAGCATCGCATTGACATTGGCCATTGCCTTTCCTGGTTCCATCTCCCTGTTTGAAATATCAATTGTGGTCATAAGATTTCACACCTACTACCCAGTAAAACATTAGCACTATAATCATTTAATACTTTGAAATATCCTCCAAGTCATAATAGCCTTGTTTCGACTAGAAGAGATTCCCGGGAATTTCCCAGGAAAAGGAAAAGGTGGGCCAAGTCGAACCACTCGGCTCAGGCCCTCTTTTTGCCTCAGGCATTTTGGCCTGGGCTGGCCCAGGCCCGGGAAATTCCTGGGCCCGAGAGAGTGTGTCTCCTATACCCAACTTTTACCCTCCTACTAGTCCTGCGTGAGTGTGCGTGTCATGTCCTCGTGCACTCGCTGGGAAGACCACGAAACTGAAGCTTAATTGAAACTATTCAAGGAGCACAATGTTCAATCGATATTAGATTGGGCAACGAGAAAAAACAAGACTTATCGCCTGCCTGAAAAGCAGATACAGAACAAAGAGGAAAAACTGAAAGGTCATTATTTACCTCTACCTTATTTTTTACATGAAATTAACTAAAAATAAAATTATACTGGCGAAGAGAATTCATTGTTTCCATATACTGTCTTAGAAATAAAATGGTCTCTTAGAACTATTCAAAAGTAACATGCTATCAAACCATTATGCAAAAATCGAAGAGCAAGTATCCAGTGAAACAGCCGACCTGAGAAAATGAAATGAGGTGCGAAAAGGGTCTCCCATTCCCTCAGGGTGTGTTCCCGGGCCTTAAAAATGCTGTCAGGCCAGAAGGGTTAGACATCTAATGAGACAGGTAATGAAAAATGACATTTCCTGGGAAAACCCATGCCCAGGAATTTCTTCTAGTCGAAACAAGGCTAATATTTTGCTAGCAACCTCTCATCACATATCATGACAAGAATCTCTACTGTAATCTGAACCATTATTCATTCCCACCATTTTATTTGGTAGCCAGTAAGATCAGTTTACCAATTTAAAAAAGGCAAATTCAAATTCTCTTTATATCTATGGATATAAAAAAAAATAGCAATAAGATTGGGCCTACCAGTACTAACTAAGGCAGTCAAATATCTTCATGGCTACTTCATCCTGCCATCAGCTAAGTTTCACTGCAAAAAAGACTCTAAAAACAATTATATATACAGCAGTAACCTATTATTACATGGTAATTAAATTTCTATCAATACTTACATTGTAAAACTTTATCAACTTTATGATTTGAATATTGAAGATTTGTGTTAATGTTGTCATTTCTCTCAAAAACCTATGGAAAAACCATTCAGTAACTGTAGAAATTGTGGGCTAATTGGGTCATTAAGTAATTCCATCAGGTGCTATGGAGCATGTAGTTTTAATCAAATCTAAAATTTCCTAAATTCAAATAGTATAATAATATTTTTATATTGATAAATCCTTCAATATGGTAACTTATCTACATATATGTATAGATTTATGTAGATCTGTTTAAAAATGGGAGCCTTTGAGGTCAAGTGAGAGAAGGTATTGAAAATTAAAGAATTAATAAAGATGGATTAGGATTAAGAGGCTATCTTGTCCTGTGGGATTGATGTCACAATGGGGTTGCTTACCAGTAGTTAAAATTAAGAAAATTTACAGAAATTTCCTCTCTTTTAGAATTTACATGATATGCACAACTCATTGATAGGAAACACACCGAGCTCTCTAGCCTCAATTCCCTTCAGAATAGCTATCCTTCAGAGTTTCTAATTCAAAACCTTCAAAGATTTAATTGGCTACAAAATGCAACTTGAGCTCCTGAACCTACCTTACACTTGCCATGACCACTGCAAGGTGTTTCTGAGTCTCCCGGGCACTTCAGGCAATCGGGACCAAAGTGATGAGCAGGGCAGCAAACTTTCAATTTATCAATGCAGAGAAACTCTTCCAATGTCGGTTGAGATTCAACCGGGAGGAACCACCACTCCTCAATCAGTCCCTCATGCTCTGAGGCCAAGTCCATGCATTGATGGATTCCAAGGGGCAGATCTTGACACAGCAACTCTTGTATCTCTGTCAGTCTGACTTCACTTGATGCATATTTTCCAAGTTTGGCCTCCTCCCAATGGGTGTCCCCACCCTCAAATTTCCCTCTTGCAGTTTTTTCCATCCCCTGAAAAAAAAAAAACAGCATGAGTTATAAATATTATCATTTTTTTTAATAAGGCTGGTATGCCAAGATGGTAATTGAAAATTAGGGAAAATACTCTCTTCATTCAAGGCTCACCTTCTTGAAGGAATCCACCAAATTTCTGCATGCTTTGCAAGAAGAATATTTATACCCATCCTTCTCGGTAGCAGCTTTGAGGTTTTTCATGCTGGCTGCAATTTGTCCCACCAGCAAGAGGCAAGTAACACTGAATATTAAAGCCGAGCAGTCTGATTTTAATGCCAATGTTACCCCAAAACTGAATCGTCTCATTCTCTTCTTCCAAAAAAAACACGATGGGCACTCCTAATGGCTCCAAAGTTATCAAATGAAAATGCTATGATTTTTGCTGCGACAGGAAATTGTCCATCAAGCCTAAGACAAGTAAAATGAGATCGGGAGTCAGGGCTCCAACTGCATGACTACTGCCTCATTGAGGCCCATGAAGGCAGTCACCTGAAAAATGGCATAAATATTGCACTTTGACAGACACTTTTCCATTCAAGTTCAATACATATTAAAATTATTCTTATTATATGAAAGGTGGAAATTCAGACACAGCCTACGAGAAGCTCAGTCTGCATTGGGCGTAGACCTAGGCTCGTAGAAGTGGAAGATAACGGTATCACTGCCTCAGTTAACAGTGCTCTCTCCAGTGTAAATTAATGAAAAATACGGTAAACCGGGGTTAGAAGCCAACGAAGCAGATCACCTGAAAACTAAAAGTAACCTAGGCATAACGTCATGACTAAACGACAAATGCTAACCCTACAAATGCCGCAACGATTCACAACATCGTGCCGCCTATGATCTCCTGGCGAGCGCCACATTGCCACTACGGGCAATCCTGCTGGAGACAGCTCATCCTATTCCCATGACGTCACGCGGATCGTCTGCATTCGTCCTGATCCGATCGCTGTATGATGTTATGACCATAAATGTTTTTGTGAGGACAAAAACTTCGCCCTTTGCCCAAAATTTTCTCTAGATGACCAGATCCATGAAGTCACTTGAGCAAGGGGCGCTGTTAAATCCCCCGAAAATTATAGATATGAAATCTTGGTCTACACTTTATCCATCATCGCTATAATTATTATTGCATTATCATCTTTTCAGCTCGTCCAAAATGCAACAGCATTAAAAGCAGGAACCACTTTTCCCCCTGTATGGGCATCAAGTTTTGGGACGGGAAATCAAGATTACGCCCATAGGAATATCCCGCGTTGAGGTCGAGCGTTCCAGTGGGTGTGTTCAAAAAATAAATCGTGCCAAAATTTTGACGAAACCTCGCCGTCATCTTGGAGCTTGAACGTCGGCGGTCAAACCCGCCGGGTTCGTCCTTAATTCCTCAAAAACTTCTTTATTTCTTTCAGCCAAACTAGCCTGATGCCTTAATTATTGCTGCTAGACAAGTCCATCCTTGATGGAGGTGGGGCAGGGTGGAGCTGGGTGGAGCAGGGTGGGGAGTCCGTTTTTGGGCGTGGATCCCAAAAAGGTAAAGAGGTTTTTAAAAATTGAACAAGAAATTTGACTCATCCATTTCACTGCTGCTTTGACAATGCAGCAAAACTTCGTCCCGGTCGAATCCCGTAATCCCATCTTAAATATTCCGTTTTACTCGAATTCGCTTATCTCGAACGACATTTCCACCCCCGATTGAGATTTTCTCACGGTTAACTGGAAATCGGGGTGTGGAGGGGGAAAATTTATCGTGGGACCGATCCGTTTGTTGAATAGGCGAAAGGCAAGAAACCTTTCCTTTCCTTTTTTTTTTTTTTCTCCCTCGCAGACGCCTGCGGAGAGGATGGATTAAACCTAGGGATTAAAACCGAAAAGCTTCTGCAATAAAAAGGAAGCGACTTCTAGCACTTTCCCTGTCTGTCTATCCGGCCGTTCCAGTCGTATTTCCGGAGTGCCGGATGAATTTTGCATACGGAGTACCAAAGTTTCCATAGACATGAAAAAAAGCCAATTATAATGAGGAGGTCGTCAGTCCTTGATATTGGATTCTCGAGGACGGGAAAATCGCCCTACATCCCATAAATTGAGTCATTTTTTAAATTAATTAATATATTTATTTTATTATTTATTTATTATTATTATTATTATATATTTTTACGGGTAGAGGCGGTTTCTGAAAAGTCGAACTTCGGGTAACTCGAAATGATTTGCCAGGTCCAAAAAAGTTCGAGTTAACGAGTTTTTACTGTATGATCAAAAAAAATATTTTCCGTTCATCTGAATAATAGTGTCGGCATTGTGGACCAATATTTAATATATACGATATAATATATAGAATTTCTGGAGTCCCTGTTTGCGGTTTCTCACTGGGTTTTAGCAAGCTCAGAAATTTGTCAGAAGCAGAGGGTCATTCCGCATCAGCTGGACCAGGGCAGTTGCTCGACCGACACGAATTCGCTTAATATTCGGTACACACGATGACTTAATAAAGACATACGTGCGAGGCAAATTTTAAGCGAATTTCAAGCAACATTTTTCGAGGCCCCCTGAACTCGGAGTGAATTCGAAGCTCCTCCCCGATGCTTAAGGAAGTTCTAACTTAAGCAATGCTCCATCAGCAGCTCAAACGAAAGCCCTTAAAAATGCAATCTGGAACGTTACCCATTCGGCACAACGACGTCGCGTCGATATCGACAGAAGGTTCAGACTAATGACAAGGTCGAGACATTTAAATGGGTTCCGCCGATCGGCGCGAGATGTCGCTTTAAGCGTCGATCCGGCGATTCCCACCCTGACGGAACGAGTCCCCCTCGTTTTTCCCACGGTGCCCGATTTCTTCCCACGGACGACCCAGGGGAAGTCTCTGTGATCCCCCGACAGTTCAAGGAGGCAACCCTCCAAGCACCTAGGAGGATCCGAGGAGGCCCCCCCCCCCAACCTCCCAATTCTCGATCATGTTAGTACTCGAGAGCACCAGTATTCCACCTGGAGATCCTTCATTGGTCCTCCGGATGATAGTACTAAGAGTACTAGGTATACTTAGATAAGAGTATTAAATAGTATTTTCGACGTTGAAGTGTTTCATTTCGACATTGCCAACGCTCAAAATGGCACAACATCGCTGCGCCGAATGTTTCACGGAAATTGCAATTTTACGATTCGGGTTCTCTGAAGGCTTTTGTCCAAATAAAAAGGACTGGATCGCGCAAAATCGCCGATTTTTGCCGATTTTATATCGTTCTTCGCTGCTCCACCTCGGAGAAATGCACCCTGACTCCACAAAAAGTACTGAGTACTAGAAAGTGCACCGTCGCGAGCAGCACCTGAGACAGTCCCGACTGCCATAACTCTTACATTTAAAACTTAATACATAAATATGAATTTTTTTTCATCTGGACTGAAAAGTGCATGAGTTCATCGCTCAATTGAGTACTGAAACAAATACTGAATTACGAGTGCCATCGGCTGCGAATTCCATTTCGTCCGATCCCACAAATGCTATTGGGTCGAATCCCTCAGTACTCAGTACGATCTGCAAGGGACAAAACGGTACTTGCAAGAACCCTTTCCTTTCTCATCCACGTGAGCAGATGCAGCAGTGAAATGCAGCAGTGAAACCGAGTGGAATTCCTCCTTTCCCTCTTCTTCCTTTTCCTTCGTTCTGAATTTAAAGGTGAAAAGTTTGCTTTGAGAAGAATGAGCAGCGATGAGACGAGGGAAAGTGGGGGGGGAAGGGGGGGGGAAGGGGGGGGAGGGGGGGGTATCCGGAAAGGGGAGAAGGGTGGGGAAGGGGGGGGGGAAGGGGGGGAGGGGGGGGAGAGTCGCGCTTTCCCGCTCGCATTTCTGAGGAGAGGAGCCCGAGGAGACACGAATTAGATTGCATGGAGAGAATTTTAATATGACGGACGGAATCTCAGCTGCATCCGGCGATTGTGCACTCTGCGACGGTTGCCTGCAGTGCCTGTTGCCAGCTGCAACGGTTGCCTGCAGTGCCTGTTGCCAGCCGTGTTGACAGAAGGGTCTGTATCCTTCTCATGCACCATGTGCCAACACTTTTTTTTTTTCAGAGGGGAAAAATGGCAAAGAGAGGCGCTAATCAACCGAAATCAGTAACGGGCGCGTCAATTTTGCATAGAGGGCGTCCCCGAAAGATGCATGACCTTTCCCAACGGCAGCAGACGGTGTCGGCGACTCGGTGAAGCGCTGCAAGGCAACAGCATCAGATGGCTTTTGCCGACAGAACAATACTCAACGCCGATGGACGAGACGCCACACCTTTTTTTTTTAATACGTCGAGGCCTCTTCGCGTAATTAATTAATACATTTAGAAACGTCCAGAAATAATTCAGGTGTGTATTTAAAGAAAAAAAAAAAGATTTTTCATCGATTGATGCGGAAATGACGCTTAAAAATCTCTGGGCACAGGCGACGTATAAATCCTGCTTCGATTTTGAGGACTCCGTGACATCAGTTCACCATGCTTGGCTATGCTTGGCACTATGCTTGGCACTATGCAGTTTGACTGTGCATTCTGTTTTTGGACTTTCTGACACTCTGAAGCAACATATGAATCATCCTTCCGGATCGGCACGAGTTTTGACTTCTTTTTTTTTGCCGGAGTGAAAGTCGATCAATCTGCATTTGCATGCTAAAAACCTAAATGAGCAACAATAAAAAAGTATGGACGAGAAGAACTTCGTAAACCTCTATCTTCCAAAAAACTACAGCGCAGGAAACATAAGGTCAAGTAGCAACGAAACAAACCACCAGAGGAGCCAGAAGCAATGCCGAGGGGTTGGCAGGAGACGAAGAGCAAGAATGATTAAAAGGACATTTTTAAAGATGTTTGCCACCGAGCTTTCTCCTGGCGCTTCTTTCTAGTGTGCATTAGTAGATAAGATTGTCCCTGGAAAGTTCCATAAATATTGCCCTGTGGTCTGGTTTTGCGCTTTCAATTCGTTTCATTCTCCACTTCGGATGCCTTTTTGTTAAGGCAATCTAGGTGCATAAAACTTTTGAGAAAACAAATTTTGCGGCGTTTCCAATGAATTACGAAAACATTCGAAGAAATCCTAAAGCATCCGTTTGATGTCATCCTGAGAAAGCCAAGGTGCAGCCAGAAATCCTGAATCGTCCATTACAATCGCCCATTACAATCGTCCATTACAAGCGACGAAATCGACCCCAAAGCCAAAAGGAAATAAAAAATAAGACGAGATAAGATAAGTAGGGGCAACAAATATTATTCGATCGTGGGTTTCGCAGTACTTGCAAGAACTGCATTGTCCCTCGTGAACGGAAATTAGGCCAACGATTGGTACTTGTGGGATTTGACTCAAGCGTAAAAGCGAGCGTTCCACGGGAACTTAATTCCTTCATTTGATGATCAGTCGTCGAAATTCAAGGAGGGATCCGGATTTATTTGAGTTCTCGACCGAGCAATTAACTGCTTCGCCGCCTCCAATTTCACGCGGCAATGCTCTACTTCTTTTTTTCTATCTCACTCGTATCACGTGCAAACGCGGGAAGACCGAAAACGGGAAAAAAAAAGGAAACGGGAGTTTCAATTCCCACGACCCAAATCACAGGGATTCCCTTCGAGACGAAAACCAGGAGCAAACCGAAAAAAACGGCCTGCACTCTCGCCCACTGCCTTACTGCACTGCGTCACGCGAGGGAATGACCCACCGAGGAGGCATCAGAGCTTCGCGCTTCCGTCACTAGATGTCTCCCGCGTTCGGATTCCATCCGCAGATTCACGCGCGTCGAACCGAGGACGGACTCGGGTTCATCCGTCTCCGAATCGAGCGCTGCGAAATCGCGGGAAGATCCTTTTCGGGGGTCACCGCGCCCGCTCGCTTAGGCGTGACGTCAGCCGTGCGAGAAAATCGGCAGCAGGGCTCGGAGCGTCGCTGACAAAAGGAATCGGCGTGATTGTTTGGATTGTCACACTCGAGGGTATTGACACGTGGGGCGGGTTTCCGTCCTCTGAATGCGTTCTGCGAATGGCGTCGGTCGTCTGTGTGCAGGAAATGGTGGAAATGCGAAAAGGCGCTGAGGGAACTCGGGCTGAATTTTCAATTCCGGAATTGCTTTTTTTTGGGCGAGGGGAATTCGGAGTTTGCGTGTCGTGGATTTGAGAGAGTTGGATCGAAGCGCTTGAGTAGAAATGAAAATAAACAGAATATCGATCGGATCGAGAAGTTCGTTATCGATTTCGTTCCGATTTCGGGTTAACCCGTTGAAACCTGGTACGACCGAGCAGAGCAGATTTGGGGCAATAATTACGACCAACAATAATTATTCTCAGAATGGTAAAGAAATGGTGCACGAGTCGTAGTGTCCCCGAAAGAACCACCGAGCATTATCGCTCTCACGTCGAGGGAAATACGATCAACGCTGATCGAGTCTTGTCGTTCTGCGTCGAGAGAGGAACGAAAAATTCATTTCAACGTTACTCTCACTCGACATTTTGACCCTCAACGTGAAATGATCATTCGATGTTCAGCAACCCGACAATCGACAATCGGACTGTCGACAATCGACAGTCGGACTGTCGACAATCGACAGTCGGACTGTCGACAATCGACAGTCGGACTGTCGACATTAGTGATTTCAACATTTTGTCGTGAGACGAGTTTCCGGAACTTTTTGGCACTGACAAAATAAAAAAAACCTTGAAAATGATGAAAATACGCATCGAACAATCACGAGAGCACCTCGTGCAACGAGGAGAGACCGCGAAGACCCGTCTCCCGCAGCTCGAGACCCGCGGCGAGTGAAGTGCGGCAGATCCGCCGAGCGCGCCCCCCCGCGGGGAACTCCTCGCATCCACCGCCAGTCCCGGCGGGTGCCTCCCTCGAGACGCGTCTCTGCGACGCCAGACCGAGATTTTTCCCCCGTCAGAACGCTTTTTCAAAAGCGAGAAATGGTCTGGGTGAATCTCGGCAGCATTCTTCCCTTCACGCACCGATGCCACGCGAACAAAAGACGCCAGAGGGAGAATTCTTTCAGCAAGACAGACCATGGATCACGGTGATCTCGTGGAACAATCTGTCAATTCGCAGAAATATAGATCCAAAAAGCGATTGACCGGTATGTGACCACCCCCCTTGGCAGGCCCCCCCGCCCCCGACGCCGTTGCTTCTTGGAGCCCTCGATTCTCTTTTGCATTGTGGGACTTTGTAGCACATGCTTTTTCGTATAGTCCTTGTCCTTGTTTCCCCCAATGGTATTGTGCCGTTTCTCTACCGTTTTTTTTTTTTTTTAGCTAATGTGGATTCTCTGTCGATTTAATCAAGTGGTCAATCTCCTTGTACAACTCACTCACGTCGCGTAACTGATCGCATGGGCTTCGTTACCAACCTTCGCTGACCGCACTACGATTATCCATGCTAATCCAAGACGGATGCAACCCACGTGACACTCGGTACTTCATGCTGGCTGGCTGCTAATTTTCATGATCGATTCTCTTCTTTTTTTTTTAGCTGTATCCGAAGCAACTATTTTAGACGTTCATGTTAACGCAACGCTGGCCACGCAGGTCAGTGTTGCCAGCTTTACATGCGAAGATGAAGATGAACTGTTTATACCATTTGTTTCGGCTGTGAAGTGGATAGTGGAGTATACAGCCCGTGACAGGCGCACCCCGAGCCCGGCGCCCCAGGCGGTCGCCTGCCCCTAAATCCGGCCCTGATATCAATCACCAATGAATGTAAAGCAAAATTGATTAATGTTATATTTACCCCTCCTCGTAGCAAATGTTTCCAGTGTACTACGCCCCCCCCCCCCTAAAAAAGCCAGGGAGTATTTTTCGTGAGAAAATATGGACAGGACCAAGTAATGGCTTAAAATGGTGCCTATGCATGCTACCTTCACATTTGTGGACGCATCTGAACGAGCAGCTCAAATAACGTAAATCATCAAATGTTTTAAGTGACAAATCAACATGTCAATTGTTAAACGTTCAGTAGAGCTTGAGTAACTCAGGGAAACAGGCGTGGAAAATTAGTTTAGGAACGTGTCATCAAGAATAATTAGAGCTTATCTTAATTACAGGGAAAGCGCTGAGCAATCTCGAAACGCTGCAAAAATGAATTAGCAGCATCGAAAGCGCGATTGCTCGGGGCATTCGAATTTTTGCGAAGCGATGCCCGTCTGCGAATTTTTTTTTTTTTTACGAAAAATGTATCTCCGAAATTACGATGTAACCGTTTCCCAGAGTAGCAATTGACACCGGGCTGGCGTGAAATTATCCGAAAGCCCCGTTCGAGAAGACAGCAGGTCGACTGGAAAAGACAGTTCGCGGACGAGAGCCGTTTCTTCTCGCAGAAGAAAGATCAGTAGGGTTCCGAAGTCCATTTCCCTGGTTGCTTGGGACCAAACCGGAGGAAGGGAATCAGGATTGGCGGCGATGCAGAGACAACAAAAAAAAAGAAAGCAAAATGCACCATTCGTATCTTGTAACCTTGGTTCGTACCCTTCCTTGGTCCGCATAACGCCAAAATCTGATGATTTTGACAATTCAGATTTTGGCGTCGTCCCCGTCCGACGCCGAAGTATTACATAACGCTTCCGAAGGGGTAACGGGGGTCAGTCCGACGCGATTAAAGGGTCGCAATCTTCGAATCCCTTTCAGCGCTAACGGGCTTCGAGTCCGCCTGCATCAGAGTCCGTTAGGGAAACGAAGTACGAGGAGTGTTTCGTCGGGGGGCGTCACGGAACCGTTACTCAAAAAGTTCATTAATTTTTTTGCGTTCGATCACGTGCATCCTTCTTATTCGGTTCACCATTATCATTCTTTCTTCCATAGCATAATGCGCCCATGCAAGCGAGGAAATTCCACATTTCTAGGCAGGCAGTCATTACACCGATCCCTTATCACGTCACGTCACTGTATGCACTTCAGGGAGATTCTCTTGATTACCATGTGTCTCTTCATCTGATTCCTTTCCACTTTCCACCATTATAGGCGTATCCATAATAGAAACGCTCACCCTTGGGCTATGAGAGTAGCCCTAATTTGCCTATAGGCGTTGCTTTTTATTTTTATTTTTTATCTGTAGAGGCCTAGGCCTACAGAACCTTGTGAAACGAAAAGAACCAAATAGAATCGCATGTCTTTAGTTAATTTTTGGTTAATATCTTGTCCAATTGTAAAGCTTAACATTCTAAAAGTCCAGTTAGAACCAAGTGGTTAGTTAGGTCTCATTCTGAGCCGCGCAGGAGACCTATATTATGCTTACTTACAGAAACTTTTCATGAAGGGTCAAAAAGCAGGACCAGACCAAGACTTGACACGACAAAAGCACACATAACCAGCAATTCAGGCTCTAGAATTGAACTGGCAAGATCAGTTCCGCAAACCATCAGTCTCACTCCTAGCAACTAGTCGAAATCGAGCGAATGCGGAACAGGGTGACAGGGCCNTGGGGGGGGGGGGGGGGGGGGTTATGGCCCCCAAAACTCCCCTCTTGGGCACGCCACTGGTCATCAAATGATTGTCATCGAATGATTGTAGAGGGTGGTGAGGGGAAATTGGTATCTTATAGACATTTAAAATATTAGAACATAGATTTTTCATCCAAAAGTTGCATGGGGAGATGGCGTCGATGTGCACGCGTCAACGCCATACGCTCAGTTATATTTACATTGGCTCCACATTCCCAAATAGCCTATGAATGAACTATACCCTTTAACCCAGATCTACCTGTACAATTTCATTTTGTCGGGGAAGGCGATCGCGACGACAGCGAGCCTCGCCTCGTAAACATGGCTACCCCCTTCGGCCCTGTCACCCTGTTCCGCATTCGCTCGATTTCGACTAGTTGCTAGGAGTGAGACTGATGGTTTGCGGAACTGATCTTGCCAGTTCAATTCTAGAGCCTGAATTGCTGGTTATGTGTGCTTTTGTCGTGTCAAGTCTTGGTCTGGTCCTGCTTTTTGACCCTTCATGAAAAGTTTCTGTAAGTAAGCATAATATAGGTCTCCTGCGCGGCTCAGAATGAGACCTAACTAACCACTTGGTTCTAACTGGACTTTTAGAATGTTAAGCTTTACAATTGGACAAGATATTAACCAAAAATTAACTAAAGACATGCGATTCTATTTGGTTCTTTTCGTTTCACAAGGTTCTGTAGGCCTAGGCCTCTACAGATAAAAAATAAAAATAAAAAGCAACGCCTATAGGCAAATTAGGGCTACTCTCATAGCCCAAGGGTGAGCGTTTCTATTATGGATACGCCTATAATGGTGGAAAGTGGAAAGGAATCAGATGAAGAGACACATGGTAATCAAGAGAATCTCCCTGATGTGCACCCTGTGAAAGATGTCCCTGCAATGGACCCAGTCAGCCCTCAGTCTGATCCATTGGGTGAACATGCTTGTGAAAATGGTTTCAAAGAGGAATCCAAAGAGGAGTCTCCAGTCTCCACAGTGGAGAAGACTGAAGAAGAAAATGCTTGCAATACAGTAGAGAAGCAGCAACCTGAAGATGACTCTTCAAATGCATCTAGTCCAGATCATTCTGAACCCTTCTGCCAAAGATTCTCCATCAAGTTCACCGATGACATCACCAAGGACGGTGATGTCGTCAAGTATACCATTCAAGTCCGCAAAGTGAGTTGGATTTAGGTCAAATGTTTTGACATTAATATCAAGTGATAGACTTATATGAGATCTAATTACTCTTGTAATTGTATTCTTGTAATTACTCTTGTAATCAATGGAAAGCAACATGTGAAATTTTGTGCATATGGATTTTTAAATTTTTCAGTGGACAGACTGATTTATATCTATTTAATGATAACAATGTTAAGTTTGTTTTATATTCAGCTGGCAGAGGACATCCAAGTGACAGTGAAACGGCAGTTTGAGGACTTTGAATACCTGGACCACTGCCTATGCACAGGGAACAAGATTGATGGCGTGATCGTCCCTCCCCTCCCGCCTCGACCTCCCATCGATCCTCAGGCAGCTGAAGAAATGACCAAGAAGAAACTGGGGTCTTCCTCTCGTGCCTTCCTTGGGGATCAGTTTCAGAAGGACTCTAAGATGCTGGAAAAGTAATTCAGCCAAATGCATTCTTAAAGTAACACCTTCAAGTTTTTTTTTTTTAGAATCTCATTATCCAAGTATCTTCAAGATGTCATTGTAATCATGAGTCTTCAACCCCAACTAAGAGTTTTTGGAGAACCCATCTTATTTCTTCAAGCTGAATCAGACCACTAATATCTTTAAACAATTTTTGGTGCAGGTACTTGGAGCAGTTGATGACCCATCCAGTCTTTGGTAGTGATCCCCAGCTGGAGAATTTCCTGATGAAGCCTGAACCTCCAGCTAGGGCCAAAGTGAAGAAAGGGTTATGGAGTCGATTCACTGATTCTCTGGATGCTAGAAAAGCAACTCATCCTGACTGTGATGAGTTCTTTCAGAGACAGCGAGAATGGGCCATATCTTATGGCCATGCAATTAAGGATGGAAGTGACAAATTTGAATCCCTTTTGGCTTCTGAGCAGAGTGAGTGCTGATTGTAATCCTTGGATTTTCTACTACCTCCCTCCACTTGAAAAATGGCTTTCTCCCATTGATCTTAATGTTGGCGGCCAAGGTTTGCATTATATTTCAAGTAGCATCATGGCAATTGTGCTTTGAGGACTTTGTTCAAAATGTTCTTCTTTGCATGAATGAAGTCTTGTATGAAAATTATGAAAAGCACTTGTATCTCCCTCTGTTTTTGCAGGGCTAGGAGGGCAGCTGAGGCATTTGGCCACTGCTCTCAGTCTTGCTATTCAGCCCATCGAAGGTGCCAATGCAACCTACAACCGTCTCAATTCAAAGTTTGCAGAGTCATTGGAGAATCTTAGGGTGAGGGAGTACTGCATTTTTGACTACCATAATTGAAGCAGATCAAATAGGTTGAGCTCCTTGCCTTTTGCTGCATGCAGGAAAGCTTTGAGGCAAGTTGTGGGAATGGCAGTGAAACCTTGGGCTTCACCTTAGATCTCTATAGTCGGTGCCTTGAGTCCCTTCTTCACATGCTACTAAGGAGAACCTGTCTTTTGGTTGACTATGAGAATGCCAATAAGGCCTTGGAAAAAGTCAAGACCAACAGGAGAGAACCAGTGAGTTCCTACTTTGCATGTACAGTTGAAAAATGTTTATTTTATTATAGAGGAGTTATTTTTTATTATTGTAGAAAACTTTGCACATCGATCAAATGTTGAGGTTTCTCTTGATGAAAATGGGATGTAAGAGCTGAGTACAGAAATGGTTTATTTCTTGCTGGGTATATAGGGTGACCAAACACAATCCATTGACACTAAATTGTTAATTTAGTGGTTTCTTCTGGTTTGACATGAGAGGGGGCTCAGTTGATTGGTGGAGGGAGTGGCGTTTGCCAAAAGAAAGAAACACTAAGTAAAGAGCAGCAGTAAGAGTATAATAGTAAGTACTGCTGTTAGGAGTCTTCAATTCCTAACCTGGCTATACCACTATCTTCATTGAGCTGATTATGTAAGAAAATCCTCATAATTTTATGGGTGTGAATGAATGTATCATTGTTCCCAGTTTCATGTAAGCTCCAAATTTTACTCAACCTAAACTTCTTCAAAGAATTGGTAATTTAGTGATATGAGGATGTAGTTGAATTCTAGGGGGATTGGTGAAGTTTCCCAGTTTCTTAGCTAGAATGCCTGTTCTAGTCTCCAAGTGTAGCTTTTCTAAGTTAAATGCTCTGTTGAATTTAAATGAGCTCAGCTATATTTTACCTGACTGCTAAGAAAAATGGAATGGGTTAAGAGGCAAAGCAAATATGATGGCTTGGAGGTTCCTTGATTCTATATTGTGACATAACATCAGATTGCATCTGGGTGAATGGGAAAGAAAATATTTTACATCATTGGGAAAAAAAACAAAGAGTGAGGTGTACTCAGGCTCTGTCAGGTGCATGGACCTCATTCCTTCCCCCTCACACCAAAGCTGATCTGTTTATTTTGATAAATGTTGCCTCAATTGGTACACTCTGTTAGGCTTAAGAATGATGTTGATTCCAGAGGTTCTATGAATCCATGATTGGAATCTGTGTCAGACTTGAATGTGCCTTGAGCTCCATTATTTCTCATTTAAAGAACTTCCTCCACTTTACAGTGTCCATAGAATGACATAGCACTACAATGCTCAGTGTATTGGAAAAGTCTCAGTCATGGATAAAAATTGCCTCAGGTATGTGCATGGAAGTGATAAAAGCCCCGGGGGCATGAGGAAGCTTCCTTTGAAAATCGAATTCATTTGCGTTCCTTCTTCTTCGCAGAAAATTATTGTAATATGAAAAAATCTATCTGAAACTTGTCATTTGGGAAAATGGGAGCCATATGGTAAATGTGTGATTTTGATAGAACAGCCCAGGACTAAAAGGAAGGACACATCTGCGTTTGAATTTCGATGTCATGTTTGCAATTTATGTCTCCATGTATGACATGGGGAATGTGTATTTTGTGACTTTTATGATCAAGTGATTCCTGACAGGTAAACATTGGGAATGGGTGACTCAATCTGAAGTCATACTCAAAATGATTTTATATGTATGTTGTTATGATGTGGAAAGAGCTGAAATTTCTCCTTTGGCCTGGTGAGTCTCACCTAATGTTAAGGGACCTTTGCACAAGAACATGTAGCTAAACTCCTCTTTCTAAAAAGCTTTTCCCAAGTGGAGGTGTATGCCCTGGCCTTTATTTTCGTTGCTGGTCCACTAAGGAAAAAAAAGCTGCAAGATATAACACTTCAATTCTTGTTCTCTTGTTAAGGCTGGCAATCACTTTTCTCTTCTAGGGAAAAAGTCTACTTGTAAAGGGGCAGGAGTACAGTTGCCTCCTCTTGTGCAGGAGTGCCTTAATTGCATACAAAGTGAGGGTCTCTGCAGATCATGGAGTAAATTTCAAACATTGCACATAAGAGAAGAAATGAGGAAACATGTCACAGAAGGCTAACGAAATGAGATCTTCCCACACTTGGTTTTCCTGTTGGAGGCATTAGTTTATGTTCTGTCAGACTCAGACAAGAGGAGGTGGTGAGGCTGTCATGGAGGAGATAACCACAAAGCCAGCCACTTAAGCCTCTGCTGTGCACCCAGCCTGTCCTTCCTGCTTTGTTATAGCTCTATCATGGAGTTATTATCAAACAAAACAAAGATTTGCCCTTATCATGGAAGTTTATCTGTATCTAATTTATTTTTGCACTTCCCATCGTTTTTTGAGAATTTTTTGGACCCTCAAATACTACCAAAGAATCTTGTAAGCCTGACCAGTGGGCAAAAGAGATCTTTACGACTTGGTTTGATTGGGTCATTCTAAAAATGAAATGATAACTCTTTCTTGCTTTAAAATATTTTAAATTAAAACGTTGAGGCCAATGTATGTCAGAGCTCAGAGGGAATTGTTTGTAGGAAATTGTCCCACAAGCGTGATTGAATCGTTCTAGACCCTGTTGAGGAAAGTGCAAGTGACTTGTAGTTTACAGCCCTGACCTGAAAATTTTGAAAAAGCGATGGTTTCGAGAAGAATCAGGGAAAGTGGAGATGGCAAATGAAGATGTAAATTTTCCCCTGAGTAATTATCCCAGAGAGGGGCTGGGAAAACAGGGGTTTTGTGGGAACGTTGCAGTACGGTTCATCGCAGACAGCCAGAGCAGAGACTTTTTTTTTCAGGTCATCGCTTGTGAGAATAACACCCGTGGAAATTCAAAATAATTGGGAAAAAATTACCTCCTATTATGTGCGAGTATCTGCCCTCGTGCAATCACAGCCATGGCAGGTGGATAAGACTAAGCCATCTGCTGCAGCGAAATTAAAAGAAAAAAGAAGATATCCTTGTNGGGGGGGGGGGGGGGGGGGGGGGGGGGGAAAGGCAAAAGGAGTCGGGATGCCCGTTAAGGGAGATTCTCATTGTCATTTCTTGCTTGCCTTCACGATCGCGCAGCGTCTCCGGAGGTATTTTTTTTGCGTATTCTCGAATCCGACTCGTCGGAGCGAACCCCCCCGAGGACAAGGAAAGCGGAAAACGGCGAGAAGAATGGAGATTCGCACGGAAGAGTCATTAGTGGAGCGCAAACGGACACGTCTTCTCTCCCTGAGAGAGAGAGAGAGAGAGAGAGAGAGAGCGCTTTTTCGCCCTGATCGGCTCGAACAGAAGTGAAAGTTCTGTCCGGTGTTATTCGTCTTCATTCCTCATAATCCTTTTTTTTCTTCAGCAGCTTACCGGATTCGGGTATTAATGATCGAGCTAAACCAGCGCGAGTATCTCGGCATTCTATCTTAGATGGTGCAAAACAATAATAATAATAATTATGAAATAATGGTGGACGAGAGAAAGAGGGTGGGACCACTATCCGTTCCGCCGGATGAGCTCATGAGTTTGAAATGCAGTTTTATAATAAATTCTTAAATGAAAGTGCCCGAAAACCAAACAATGGTTGTCGTCATCGCGAATCGAGGAGTAAAATTTGGTGAGGCTTGGAGCCGCGATGTTTCCGCCAACGTCGACGGAAGCCCGGCGCCGGGAGGGGAGGGTCGATTGCACAAGCGGTCTCATTTCTTTCTGAAAGGAAGAAATAAAGAAAGAAAGGCTTGCAGAAAAGAATGAAGTGAACGGGAACCGATCGGAGTCCGTGGAAGTCGGATGTCCGCTTCCGCGCCCCGTGCAAGGGAAGGAATCGTGCAGAATGGGAAGAAAAAAAAAAAACAAAAACGATTGATTGCGTATTTAAAAAAATGATCCAGAGTACATAGCACATTTCTCACGATAGGTCTTCGCTGGAGGTCCCGTCTCGGTGTTAGGCGATCCGAGGAGAATGGTCCACCCGCGGCCTCCTTCCACACCTTCGTCGAATGCGGATGCCTTTTTTCCGCTTCGAGGGGTGACGGATCGGGTCTTTGGGATTTTCCGGGGCCTGGCTTCCGAAGCACACGGAAGGGAGAAAAAGGCAGTCGGTGCGATTCGTGGGGGAAAGGGAGAAGAGTCCATCGCGCACCTGTTGCGCCGAAGTTTCCCGATAACTAGAACGGCCTGAGATTTCGCGCCGTCTTCGAAAGTCTGGCCCATTCTTCGGTGCGGCGTGCTCGCGTCCGGCCATTGAATCGTCCTTTCGTCGCCAGTGGGCCAGTTCCCCGCTCTAGTTGATCCTCTTTTCTCGCCGTCCCCGTCGTCGGCCCGATCGAATCGCGCCGTCGTCGTCGGGGTGACCCGATTAATCCCGAGGCGGTCGAGTCCCGATCGGAGAAAAGGGAGAGGAGGGCGGTGGGGGGGGGGGGGGAGGCAGGTGGGGCGCGAGGCATCGTCCGTGTCCACCGTGATCCAATCCCTCCAGCTGTGCTCTGCCGTGCCCTCTCCCTCTCTCAGTCGTTAGAGTCCACTGGTGAAGTGTGCACGCGTGCTCACGCGCTCCCTCGCTTTCTTCTATTGTTGCCTCTCCGCCCTCTCGGTCGTTTCCAACACTTTGTTTTCCTGCCGTGCAGTGTCACGTTCGTTTGGGGTGGGGGACGGTGACGTTTTAGCTCGAGGTTAGGTGTCTCGGTGTCATGCAGTCGCAGTGTTGGACGGTAACGAAGTCGAGGTAACGCGTTACAGTAACGAATTGCATTTTAGGTCATTTCAATGGCAAAATAGCAATAACTAGTTCCTTTTCCAAGGAAAGTGTCAGTGACGTTACTGTAACGCGTGACTTTCTCGTTGACAGACTCGACTTCGTATGAAAGCGACAAGCCCTGTTTATAGCATTTGTCCTTGCCACCACCGAAATCACTTACGAAGCTGGAAGCGCAGTTCAAGTTCGTTACACCGCCACCAATCAGTGCCGCTGTGGAGAGGCTATTTATTGTAAGAGCGGGCATTTCCACCTTTAACAGAATTTCTTCCGCCAGCTTCGTGGAGCAGCTCCCCCGAAGAGCGGGCTCACGGGTGCATCGCATGCAATTAAATCCCCGGGAACTACCAGCCCAAGTTTTTTGCTCTAGAGCCCTTTTTCTCTTTTGGGTGCTCTCACGGACCCGAGTCGTCTGTGAGAATTCCTCGCGTCGAGCATCTTCTACACTAGCATGTGTGAACCCTCTGAGATGCAATACGACGTCATTACGGACATTTTCGTGTTATTCAGTGGAATACTGCTGGGAGTGAGGGCCAGTTCCAAGTCGACAGAGCTTTAAAAGTATGCTTAATTTGTAAAGTTTCTTGTAAAAAATACTATTGGTTAGAAGGAATTATACCTGTAAGTGCTTTTAGGATGGAACACTTGTAATTATTACGAGTTACTTTTTAAATGGAACATGCCCAACGCCGTAGAAGTTGTATGCTGATAGTGCAGGGTGATTTTAAAGATAATGTTGTTGTAAAATTGAATTGTAAAGCCGGTTGGAGAAGAGGGGAGCCCGCGTGAGAACCTACCCACGAAAGCGTGAACGTGAAAATGATCATTTAAATATATTGTTGTGCTTAGTTTGATATTTCTGTTTGTATGATTTTTTTTGTTGCCTCATATCATTTCACCGTCGGCGATTTCGCGAAAGAATCGAAAGCGGAAGTGAGCCGAGATCGGGAACCCCTGGAGTGTAACTCGGCGACATTGTTTCTCAGTTGAGTGCAGTCATTGTCTGGCGGCATATTTCTGCGATTGAGTTATTCCATGTCCTCGACGTCAGTGTCGTGTGACTTTTTTTTTCTCAGGCGTTGGAAGCGACACGAGCGACATCGATACTGTTGCAAAATAGCTGATGTAGCGGTTACGACGACGGCGTAATGGAACGATAGGAAATCGGTGGCACGATGTCAGCACAACATTTAAAACGGATATTATTTTTTGATGGGAACCGGATCATCCGAGTCTTTCTGATACCCATGGATGCCCATTATGAAACGAGGTAGGCTTTAAAAATAGTAACGGATTTGGTGCATGCCAGGTAATGAATTACGACGAGACCGTGGACGGAGCCAACGAAGAATGAAATTGCTAAAAAATGGTTTATTTAGCAAACAGTTGTATTTCTGACGGTCTGGATCGGGATTTCGCGTTCGGTGCGGTGATTCGTGTGTCTCGTGTTTTAGCGCTCAGCACGTCGTGTGCTTATTCATCGGGTCCGAAGGCTGTGTCCTTGCCTCCTTTCCGCGGACACGGTTCATTACTTTCGCGACGAACGGATCGGGAGTGGGGCGAGGTTTTTTTTTTGTTACGATGGTGGTCTGGTTGGGTCCGAGATGCTTCGCTTCGTCGTATTGTCTTCCCCATCCGAGGTTGCGAAAGATCCTCGGCGCTCCTTTCGATCGAAGATTGGAGGAATTTTCGGGAAATGAACCTCGTTGCGCCACAGAGGAAGTACGGCTCGATTTAACGGTCGTGAGAGATCGTCGAAACGGGAGATCCTGGTCCTACTTTTCCTTGGGGGGGGGGGGGCGAGAACGGAGTCTGCATCCGTCCGTCAATCATCATTCCACTTCGCCGCATCCCCTGAGACGAGACGAGGTGAAGTGGAATGAAGAGTTCGTGATCGGGACCCTCGCCTCGTTTCCATGAAAAGTAACGGGGAGGATGCAGGAGCGTTCATTCCACACCGTTAGATAGGGTTTGCGTGGATGGGGGAAAAAGGGTCATTCCCATCGACGGCTCTGCAGGTGAGGATGGTGTGAGGGTTTCGATGACCTTTTCTTATCTGTGGCTCGAAAAAGAATTCACACTCGATTGCATTAGGTGCCGTTGTTTCGAGCCGGGAGTCCATTTCGCGTCCTGCGCACCGTGACTTCCTCGATTCGCCTTTCCTTGAATTTTTTTTTTCTCTTTCTCCCCCGCTCCCAGTGCGTTTCTTTATTCGGTCTCGTACCGTGACCTCAGTCGAGTGGTTGTCGGTGTCGCGTGTTGAGGAAGGCAGGAAGTCTCGGATATATCGCCCTGTCCTGGATGGTAATTTCCACGGTTCCAAGGTCCTCTTAATCTCGCCCACCCTTTCTCTTCTCGTAAGCGTCGGTTCTGAGATGTCACGGACGATCCGGAGATTCATCGCTTTTTCCATCTGCAGATTGAAAGTGAGGGGGGGCCAAGGCAGAAAAAAAAGAAAAGCTTGCGAGAAAACACAATCTCGGGATGTGTTTTGAGATGATGAGACCGAACGGTTGAGTGATGGTGCATTCACGCGGTCGAGTGAAGTCAGAGTGGAACCAAGAGAGGGAAAGGCAACGGCAGGATGAGAAGCCCGATTGATCCGCCATGCATATCTCCACGCGGTTCTTCATCGCCTTGTCCTTGGCGTTAACCCTTCGACCATCGCAGGGGGAGGAAGAGAAAGGAAGAAGCCCCCAAGAAGAGGCGAAGCCGGACCGTCGCTATGCCGTTCGCCCGGGGTCCCTCCTCGTGCCCTCCATCCCGGTCCCGTTTCGACCCGCGTTCGTCCCCGCTCCTCCCCCCCCATCCGCTTCCCCTCGGTACGACCTTCAGCCCCAGCCTTCCCCGGCCTCGAATTACGGAGGGGACACGAGTCTGGGGCCTCCGGTGTTGGTGGGCACCCTCCATCGCCCCATTCCTCCCTCCCTCCTCTTCCGGAAGACCCCCTCTTATTCCCGGATAAATCGGGGAGATTCGCCGTATGCTGCTACTGGTCATCCCACCCACTCGGGGGTGGGATATCGTCCCGCAGGACTTTTGGAACCCGTGAAGCATTTCTTCTCCGAGCTCGCCAATCAACTCTTCCCATCGGACGACGACGACGAAGACGTCGACGATCTGGACACAGAAGCCTCCGATGAGTTCCCGATGCTCTCTCGTCAGCCTCTACCCATCCCCATCCGTTTGCATCATCATGCCCTGGACAACGGAAGAGAAGGGACCGTTCATCACGCGACACCAGGCGGATTCATATTCCACGGACCGACGATGTTTCGGCGTCCGATGACGTTATCGACGCCTCAGACGACGACACCGCCTCCAGACGCGACGACGACGGAGCCGATGATAATCACGGCTCCGACTCCGCCGATCATCAACCTGGTCGTGAGGGCTTCCCTCGGCGGCGGAGAGAGTGGCAAGCAGGGAGAGGAAGAGAATCTACACCCAGATACCACGGCGACGAGACGGCCGTATTTCGTGCCAAACGAGAGGGTTGCCCTGAGGAAAGTGGCCGTGAAACTGAATCCCATGATACCGCTGATTCGAACCACCTCCACGGCTCCTCCGATGAGGATGGGTGTTAGAACCTACCGACCCCACTTGACCCCTCGACCCAAGCTGCACCCGGACGAAGGGGTGTCCTTCGAGGAGTCCTGGCTCGAGAGAGTCCTGGCGGGGAGGACATCCGCGACCCCCATACCCCTGATGAGATTCGGGAAACCGGACGAGCTGGGCTCGCATCACGCCGATGCGGAAGGGGTCGCGACGAACGACACGACGGGGGAGGGGAGTCAGACGCACGGCGTCTTCCTGGAGTCGGTCGGTTCCGACTCGAACGCGAGCACGACTCGGAAGCCGAGTCCGTTCAAGACGCATCCGCCGTACGTGTTCAATCAGGGATTCACGAGTCCGCGTCCTCGGGAGGAGAATCAGGGCCCGGTGTTCGCCTATCCCGGTTACGTTCCCGCGGTGACCTCGCAGAAGAAGGGCGACGAGGTCGGGGTCGAGGACGAGGTCGAGGTCGAGGACGAGAAGGTTTTCAAGGCGGATGCGGAGAACGTCGCGTACATTCTCATCGGGTCGTGTTGCGCCTTGAGCATCTTCTGCCTCATCGTCGTCGTGTTGACGATGAGGTGCAGGAGGAACTGTGCCTCGCGTTTCCGCCATTCGTCGACGTCGTCGGCGCGGGGACTGAACGCGGACACGGACAAGGGAATCATCGGGAAATACGTGGACTGGGAAGACGGGATCCTATCCTCGGTCCGCACGGCCACGACCAAGGCGGATTCGACGGGGTATCTCCCGGGGAACCGGATCCTCGGCTCGGCGGTGCAGAACGCGACCACGCACAGGCTCGGGACGTGGTTCAGTCCGCGCAACAACCCGACGACCTCGCACATCTTCGGGAACCCGGACAAGCTGAGGGGCAGCAAGGGGACCCTGGCCCTCCCGATGGGATTCTCCTCGAGCGTCAACATGCACATGTCGTTCAAGGGGGCGTACTACGTGGACGGGGAGACGGGGTCGACCCGGGACCTCGTGTCCATCAATTCCGACAGTCGGAAGAGACAGTTGTACAAGGGGACGCTGTCGGTCTATCGGGAGTTGTCGGACACGTCGCCGGGGAGTACCAGTCCCTCGTCGTATCACCCGTGCAACGGCTTGGAGAATCCGGGCCTCGAGGACGTGGAGATGCTGCATTTCAGGAAGCTGTCGAGTCCGAATCCGAACGATGGGCCGGCCGTGGCCGTGCCGGTGTCTGGTGCTGATTATCTCGAGAACAAGGATCAGGTCATCTTCTGGTCCGGTAACGAGGACCGGCTCATCTGATCCACCTGCCGTTTTGTTTTTGTTTGTTTTTTTTTCTTTCCGCCAAAGATGTCGCTCATATTATGGTATTGATGATGAATGAAGCGTGATGCACGACGAGGGTTTGATTTCCTGCCCGAAACGGACGGGGTTGCCTCGAGGAGACGGACGGGGTTGCCTCGGGGCTCGAGTACAGATGGTTGGTACGGTTTATTCTCTCTTTCGATTGGGGAAAAAAAGGCCTTTCGACGGCAGATGTTCCGTTCGTTCTGCTCTGCTGGTCGAGGCGAAGAGAGAAGCGGAAAAGAATCCGATTCCCACCCCTTTTCGCCTCCTGGTTACTGTATGATGAACCGGTTACTGTGTGATGAACCGGTCGCATTCACTCAGAACGTTGATGATGATGAAAGGACTGGCCCCTCGACCGAGTCACGAGCACTCAACTCGAAAACTTATTTCAAATATTCCCCCCCCAATTTCGAGAAAGTGATAATCCAAACGAGGTTGAGTGATTTTTCGATTGCCATTCGGGCTGATCTAGTGTGACGTACCTTGACCCGAATCGCCAGAATCAGGTCGGAACCCGCCTCACCTTTTTCTCTTTCACCTTCGTTCCCGGCGAAAGGCAAAGAAAAATCGGAAATCCGTTTTTTTTTTTTTTGGGGGGGGGGGGGGGGCAAAAATTTTGGGGGAAAAA